GCCGCCGCCTGCGCCGCCCGCCGCGCCCGCCGCGGCCGAGCCGGGCGACGCCGAGCTGGGCGGCTGCAGCAAGGAGGAGCTGGTGCGCCGCCTGCGCCACGAGGAGGCCGAGAAGCTGGCGGCGCTGGTGCAGCGCGGCCGCCTCATCCAGGGCGTCAACCGGCAGCTGCAGGAGCACCTCCGCGAGATCCGCGAGCTGAAGGCCGTCAACGGGCGGCTGCAGGCCGAGAACCGCGAGCTGCGCGACCTGTGCTGCTTCCTGGACGAGGACCGGCTGAAGGCCAAGCGGCTGGCGCGCCACTGGCAGCTCTTCGGGCACCACGCGGCGCAGGTGCTGCGCGACGAGGTGGCCGCCTGCCTGCGCAAGCTGGCCGGCCTCGAGGGGCTGCAGGAGCGCCTGGCCAAGGACAACCTGGAGCTCAAGGAGCTCTGCCTGGCGCTCGAGGAGGAGTGCGCGGCCGCCGCGGCCGCCGCCGCCGCCTCGGCGCGCCCCGACGCCAGCCCCAGCCCCAGCCCCGGCCCCGGCGGCGGCTCCTCGGAGCTCGGCCTGCCCTGCGGGCCCCGCGACCTGGGCGACGGCAGCTCCAGCACCGGCAGCGTGGGCAGCCCCGACCAGCTGCACCCGGCCTGCTCCCCCGACGACTGACGGCCGCGGCGCGCCCGGGATCGTCCGCGCCCGCCCGGCCCCGCTGCTGGACGGGGAGCCCTCCCCGCCGCGTCCCCGGGGCCCCGCGCCGCTGTGGGGCGGGAGAACGGGGCCCCCACCCCCGAAGCATCAGGATTTCTTTCGTTTTTGCTTGTGTGTGGTCAGCCCAGCTGCATTGGCGCTCTGGCGAATCACCGGGTAAGCCTCTGGATCGCACAGAACGCTTCTCGCTCAGCTGGGGGACCCGTAATCCATGGTGGGAAGCAGTTGCTCTCGGACCTTGCCCACAGTTTCTGATGGCAGCACCGTGGAAGTGCCCCCCCCCCCACACCAGCATGCTCCTGCAGAAATCGGGCGAGTGGCCCTGGACCAGGGGTGGCCGGGATGTTTTTCTCCAACTCTCCGGATGAAAACAAGCCGGGCTGAAGCAGCTTGAGTGCACCACAAATCTCCCATCCCTATGAAACCAGTCTGAGCCAACAGAAGCATTATTTTTACACTTCTAGCACTTCTGGACTAGGTGTGAAGGTTGTAGCAAACTTCTGGATTGCACAGGGCTCTTCTTCTGTACAGCCGGACTTGCACTGCTTAAAAAGAATGTGTCATACGCTGTGCCAGAGTTGGGGAATCAAGGATGGGGTACCCCCCCCCCAATACAGAAAATCTCACCTCCTGCAGTGCAGAGCGTTGATTTTGGCCGCTTGGAAGTGGCTGGGCGAGGTGGGAGTTTCCCAGCAAATGCTTTTGCAAGGTGTGAATTTGGCTGGAGTGTGCAAGAAAGCGTTTTGGCCCACCCAGAAAGATCTTGCCAATTTCACCCTTCTTTTCCTCTCTCCATTTTCTGCTTGAGGGAGAGGGCGCATTTCAATTTTAAATGCCACACACGGGTCAGCCTCAGGCAACCTACGGTCCTGCTTGCGAGTCGGACTACAACCCCCAGCATCCCCCCTCGGCAGCTCACAGAATGGGCTAAGCAGTGCTTGGAAGGAGCAAGAAGACAGCCACTCTTCAAAGTATTTTGAGAACGTCCATATTAAAATACCGTTACTTGGAGGATTTTCAGAAGGTGGGACTGAAGCCGCGACCATTTGGTTATATAAAGTGGTCCTTTTTTTTGATATCCTTCTCCTGCCTGGGGAATAAACGGGAAATCGGATGTCGCATGATAGGGCAGGAACAAATTGTTCCGCTGCCATGTACTTTTGATCAGCAATAGCTGGGAGTGTTGGTTTGGACCAAAATGGTTCCAGGGCAGCAGTCTTGGGAACACCCCTCCTCCTGAAACATGTGCTGTGTTGGCGGATGTGTGTTAGAACTGATCCAGCCGGCGTGTCGGGCAAGGTTTCCTTTCCCCGCTGCAGCATTGGTCCTACGGAGAGCTGGAACAAGGCCATTTGCTGGAGAGAGGGTGGCTGGTGAAAACAGCAAGCTTCGGTCACCCACAGGATGCTTGCGGCTGGTGAAAACAGCAAGCTTCTGTCACCCACAGAGAGAGATGCCGGGAAGCAAAACCCATCCGCTCTGTGCTTTGTTTTTCTTTAAAAAAAGAAAAGAAATCATCCTTGGATAGCAGGATATTGAGGCCTGGAAAACAGCATCTCCCCCCTCCCCTTCTCAAGGATCCTGACCTCCCCCTTCCAGGATGTAGCCAAAATGTGTGTCACGGGAAGGGGACATCCTCTGAACTTGACTGGGAATCGGCGTGTGCTGTGGTGATGCGGCTCTGTAACAGGAAGGCCTCCAGCTCACGCAGTGAAGTGTCTTTCTGTTTCCTCAGGATGCTAATAAATGTTTTAAAAAGCTATTGCTTCTGGGGAGGTGTTTGTTCCGTGTCTTCGGACGGTCGGAATGCATGGCTTTGGGAAAGCGGGGCGGGGGGAGGCCGCATCAGGCGACAAAGCCGCTTTCTCCAATCACCAATTATTTAGGGATGGTGGGGGGGTCAGCTTTTGGCATTCCCTCCCCTCCTGAAAGGTTGGCGTGCATTTGCAAGAAATCATTATGAGCAAAAGGAATGGTATTGCTAAAATAGATGGTTGTGTGTGTTTTAAATTTGGCCGCATCCCTCTGACCTTTGCCCCCTCCCCTTCGTAGGGATGTTCCCCCAAGAGCTCGCCCTAAATTGAATTTAGTCCTTGGGCTGAAATGAATTCTCTTGGAGTGGGAGGACTTTTTGTTTCCATTAAATGCTGAAATTGCCAGCCAGCCTCCAACATTTCCCCGCAGTGGCTGTTTCCAGTCCGAAAGATTAATTAAAAAACCCTCTTGGCAGTACATTTTAGTACTCGGTTTCCAGAAGGAAGGCTGCCTAGAAACCAAGCCAGCCAGCCATTGTGCAGTGTGAGGATACTTTGCGCATGCTCAGGGGCAATGCAGCACTTCGTCCAACTCTGAAATGATGCAGCTTTTTGGTTGTTCTTTGCTTACGCCCCGCTTTTCAGGAGGGGGCGGGGTTGGAAGAATTCCTTCTGGTTTTCAAGGACCAAAGAAAAACCATTTCTAAGAACCCTACAAAAAATAGTGGAAGTGAGGAGATATTTGACGGATGAAGTCAGGGGTGAATTCTGTACCCTTGCATCGTGTCCCAGCTGCCATTTCAGGGAAATGAAAGAAATGGGTACCATAGTCCATCCTTCCTTCCTTCCTTCCTTCCATGCTAAACATAATCTCAATATTCTGGGGTCAATCAAAGGCCAGCTACTGTGGGGTGGAGAAACCGGAAAATGGAGAAATAGGGGCTGGATGCATTTTTGCCTGGTCAAGGGCTGTCCCCAGTTTTGGGCTCGTCCACAAATTAAGCGGCTTAGAAAGATGAAGCTCCTGGCAGTGGCGTCGCTTGCGGTGGACTCGGAGTCCCACAAGAATCCCGTGGAAGATCATCGCCTTCCACGCGTGGCCCTGCTCCACTGAACCTGGCGGCGCCGCGACCAGCAAAATCGACGGTTGCTGAACTGTCTCGGCAAATAAAACGGGGGCTGCAAAACCGACTCGCTCGTGTCCTTTTATACCTCCTTCCTGGCTGGTGGCCGAATCGGATGCTTTCCTCTGGAGCTCTCTCTTCCTGTTGCGAAGAACCCCAGTCTGGATCAGGATCAGGACCACTGGGAGAGGATTCAACTTCTCACACACCCCGTTATTTTTCTCCCAAATTCTCCACCCCATGCAGTGAGTTTAAAAAGTTCCAGTTTGCACTAAGATGGCTTTTTCCCCTTTACATGTGCCTAAAGGGATTGGGGTGGGGGATTGTAGGATAGGGGAAAGGTTGAACACCCCCCACCCCGTGCATTTACGGTCGTTCTGATTCAAATCGGGACCATGCACTTTTATCCTAAGAGTGAGGAACTTGGTTTTTCTCTGTGCCCTGCCACACAATTAACAAAGTGTCCACCTTTCGCTGTGGGGTTCAGGAGAATTAAAGGGGGAATTAAATTAATTTTAAAATTAATTAAAAGAATTAAAATCTTTCCCACTGGTTCCAGAAGGAAAGATGCGGCATCAAGACCTGGTTTTCCAGTCATTCCTTCTTTGGGGTTACGAACACTCGGATCAGCCCCATGGCTTGAGCGAAGGTTTTGAAATCATCCAAAAAGGAACTGGGCAGCCCTCTGAGTGGGACGGTGTGACGTGGTGTCCTGCGACAGCAGGGGGTGGACCTGATGGCCTTCATGGCCCCTTTCAGCTCTGCCATTCTAGGATTCTGTCTTCCACTGCTTGGCTCGGCTCATTCAGTCCCGTCTGTCCCAACCATCCCCATCCCCGGGGCCTGGACGTTTCCCCTGAAGTGTGTTTTATAATGTGTGTTTTAAATTATGATCATTTTATATGGATATTTTAACTTATTGTTTTATCTAGTGTTGTAAGCCGCCCCGAGGCTTCGGCGAATGGGGCGGCATAAAAATGTTTTAATAAATAAACAAATAAATAAAATAAGCCAGCCCTGCCGCTCGGGTGCCGCTGAAGCTGCGGCCGTGCTTGGGCACTCAAGCCTGCAAGTGCCTTCCCAGGCGGACGTGGCCGGGCCTGATTCGCCGCGGCACAAGCGCTAGCCGAGCGCTCGCTCGGGGTGCCCCCTCTTGCTCCGGTCATCTCGCAGCCCACACCACTGCGAGTGGAGCGGGAGACAAAAGGTCTCGGGGCCAGGAAACAGGTGTCCGGACTCCGATGCTGATAACAGGGAGCCAACGTCAACAATCCCCGGATATGAGCTCTGCCCTGCCTTTCTGGAGCTGGATTTTCCCCAGGCAGAGCTGGGGGGACGACGGAGGGAGGCTGGATAAACTCCGGCATTCCTAGCACTGCTGGGAACGGAACGAGCGAGAGCGTTCATCCTCCAGCGGTGACTCAGGATTGCTGGATTTTGCTCCTTGCTCCCGTAAGCGAGACTGCACAGGCAGTGCACGCAGGTGGTCCCGCTTTTAATCCCTGGAAGCAACGGTGGGCGTCCAAAGGACCCCAGGGGGAAACTCTGGAAAGCCGTTAGCTGCCAGCGTTGGCCCCGGAATGGCCGGGAACTTTGCAGTAGACGGTGGAGCGTTTCTCCATTCCTGGTTGTTAACGAGCAGGCCTCCAGCTTCCACAGCTTTGCCCATCCTCAAAGATTGGAATGATTCTCGTCCCAGACGGGACAAGCTCTGAGCAGGCAGCAGTGGGTGGGGTTTTCGCTCGCCCCCCTTTTGCCTTGGCCATCTCCCCTTCCTGGAACGATTCCCGTTAGAATTTGGCTGTCACGGAAAAGAGGTTCTGCACTCTGGTTTAGATCCAGTCATGGATGGAAGTTCTTTGACTCTTGAAGTTGGAGTTTGCAGCCTTCAATTTTTCCCATACCCTGAGATTTTTGCCACTTTCAGCATCTTTAAGTTTCACTCTTTTTTTTTTTGCATGGACTTGGATATTAGAAGAGCCACCTCGTAAAAAGGGCAGGAAAAGAGGACTCTGATGCTGATGGTAATCTTTAATGCAATTATTTCCACAAGAAATAAAGAAGGAGAGGGGGAAACATTTATGGTAATAACAACAATATAAACTATGTTCAACCAGCTCCATCAGTGGGAGAAATAAACAGCTATCCCACCTCATCCAGGAGGCTATAGATAATTTCTGGGTGATGCGATCAGTCCAAACAGTGAAAGTGGGGGCAATTTTGTCCCCAACTCTTGTGCCTAGTGTGAAAGAGAATGCAAATTTTGATAACAGTACAGTGCTGCTTTGAGAAGAAAAGTATATGAAGTAAATGGAATTTTAAAAATAACAGGAGTACGTTTCGGGGGTTTTAAAGTGTAAAGCACGGATAAGGGTCAGAGTCCTGGTGCTTTGGAATAAGGACATGCTTCCTCAAAGCAGAAGGATTTTCTGGTCATTCCTGAGGACTAGCAGCTTGTCTCTAGCATTAACATGCAAGAGTTAGAGACCTACAAGTCTGTGCTGGGTGGCAAGGAAAGTGAGGCCCCCAAAAATCTGCGTGGCCAGAGGGGTGTTGGAACAGCAGAAAGGGCGAGAAGCCAGCCACCTTGAGGAAAAATGTTCTAGGCCGAAAAGACATACGTCCTGCTCGAGGTCCTCAGAGGGCCAGCAGAGTCGGGGAGCTGAGCGAATCGGAGGAGTGGTCGCCGCTGCTGCTGCGTCTGTGGGCAGAGGAGCAGGGCTCGGACGCGAAGCTGGATCCGGCTGGCATGTCGGGGTCTCCCGGCGTGGGATAAGTGAAGACCAGGCTCGGAGTGAAGGGGGTGAGCGAGGGTGTGGACATCAGCGTTGGGGTGTGCAAAGCTTCGGGCTCCAGCGTCTCGCTGGGGGGCAAGGTGATGCTCGGGGGCACCGGGGCAGCCCGGCGGGAGATGCTGGGCCCCGGCGGGGACTCCCGCTTCACGGGAGGCTGGTCGGAAGCTTCCGGGTGGCCCCGGGCCTTGTCCTCTTCGCCCGAGGACTCCCCTGGGACTTTGCAGACCGGACGATGGGCCTCCAGGACAAGTTCCAGGCGTTCCTTCTGCTTCTGCAACTCGGCGATCTCCTTCCGAAGCCCGGACTGCTCGGCCTCCAGTTCATCTGTCTCCTTGGGAGTAAAAAGGCACATGATTTGGATCAGCATCGGAAGGATTGGAGTCTGGGCACTCTTGAAGAGTTGGAGAGGAGCAGGGACAGAGTGCCGCCCCCAAAACCTGACACATTTCTCCCCAAGTTCTCCACCTGAAGAAACACCGGGCTGGGCAAAGAGATGGGTGCAGCCGGCCACTCTTGCCTTCAACCCCAGCGTCTGGTTTTACTGGCATGCTGCAATCTCGGTGCCTTTGGGGAGGGTGAAGCGTAGTTGAAGAACTGGTGCATTTTGTGGCTTTTCGCTGGGTCCCTTGTCCCAGGAAGGAGGAGCGTTAAAAGAGGTTTGGGGGAGCCTGCAGGGCCTGGGAAAGCAGCACGGAGCGCTCGCTTGGACAACGCTGGTTGTTCAAGTCCTTCCTCCCACTGGGAACCTCCTGGAAACACACACCCCGGTCCTGCCACTTTTTGTGGCATGGATACCAACTGAGCAGGCAAAAGAAAATTGCCACCTTCAGCTCCTTTACTTCATCGTAACGCTCTGCCCTGGCACCTATCCTTCGGAAAGTTTGTAGGCTTTTAACCTAGGGCCGCATCTCTGTTGTTTTCCAAACAACTCCCCGCCCCCCACTAATGACACAAAAATGACACAATTTGGGGGGAGGGAGTGCAGGAGCCCCAAACGGTAAGGGCTGCTTTCGCACAAAACTGAAACTTGCTGGGTACGCTGCTCTTGGAAGGGGCAATGAACCTTCCAATTCCACCCAGTTCAGCTACATAATACTAATGTGATCAGCAAAAAATAACTTAAAAAATAAGAATGGATATTTTAAGATCTCGGCCCTCCTAGGCCTTAGTATGAAACGTGGCAAGTATAATCCCCTAAGGGGCTTGTGCCAGCAAATGTTATTCAGTTCTGACAAACAGGAAAAAACAGGGCATTTGTAGATTTTCAAAGACGTGTGCATGAAGATGTGGGTTTCCTGCATCGAATCAGGGGGCTTCTGAATCGGGCCATGTCTGAATTGAGGTCTAAATCGAATCCTCTACTTGGTGTCAACCTCTAATAGTCATACAAGATCACACGAGGCAATCAACAGAAACAAGCCGGTTCCACATTCCCTTCCCCAGACCCTCAGATACAACTGTCGTTCCCAGAGGCAAACTCACGGCTTGCAGAGTGTCTGTTAATTCTTTCCGGCGGTTCCGGCATTTGGCGGCTGCCAGTTTGTTCCTCTCCCGACGTAACCGGCGTCGCTCCTCTTCTTCGGGCGTCAGCTGCAGAAGGGAGACGAGAGTCACAAATCCAGCGAGAGGCTGACAGAGCTGGGTTCTTTTCCTTTTTGCCTTTCCACAGCTTGTACTCCCCGAGGGGGAATCTGGGATCTTGGAAGTGCAAGGCCGAATGTGCCTCCCCACCCACCCACCGCCTTGGAAGGTGCCTCTGGGCATATACAGAGTGCTTCAAGCTTATAAATACCCTGTCATCCTACGCATGTCTAGGTATGATGCATTTCAAGCGACCTGGCCCAGCTTCTCAAGGACTGGGGGGAGACTTTATTTGATACTGGGGGGCTCTGCTCCGGCCCTAGTCGAGTGAAGCCACGCCCATCATCCCCAGAGCACCCCGAGGCAGACCTGTGTGCTCCGTTATTCAGGGGATGCCACATGGCAGCAGGAAGGGGGAAGGCTCCTTGGGCACTACTAAACTCCCCGAGCTTCGAACTACTGACAGCCGAGTTGTGTGCTAGTTGTGGCTGAAGAGACTACGGCAGGCTTCAGCTCACACAGAGACATTTAAAATAATTAAAATCAATTAGTGTGCTTTGGAAGAAAACCACCCTGAGGAGCAGGCCACTAAAGTCCCCTTAACGAGCTTGCCAAGTTGCAGGCCTCTAGTTCGCACGTTCTTGGCAGCGACGGACAGGGAGGTACAGCCAGGGCCATCTATGTATTGGGTCTTCACAAGGCTTAGCCATGCTTGCACGCATCTCAGACAGAGGTCCTTCTGGAGGGTTTCTGTTCACAGGGTCACCATAAGCTGGAGAGGCCGGCTCATCGCAACAGCAGTGGCTGGAGGCTGGAATTCTGGAAGTCTTCTCGGATCTTTTTTAAAGGTGACTAAGAAATGCAATCGAATAAAAATAATAGCTATATTTTTAGCAGGAGTTTTTAGGGTAGCTGGTCGGTGTTGCAGGAAAAGCCAGCTGCAGAGCTGCTGTTGGGCGCAAGAGGGCACCAGTGGCCAGGAAACTCAGCATCCTCATCTCGCGGGATGCATCCTACTGGGATGGATCCTACTGGTGAAGCAAGAAGACTGGGGTCTGCTTCCTTTCAGCTGCTAGTTGCCTGTGTCTTGAACAGGCAGAAAGACAAATCTTTTCTCTGGCATCCAAAGGGATCCCTCTGAGGTTGTGCCTACGGTGTGCACCAGACGCAGCTGAGAAGTCCCATCTCACAGACGGATCCAGAACGTGTTAACCCTAAAGAGGTAGCGCTTACGAATTCGGACGTGCCCCAGGGCCCTCGTGCGTGTGTCTTGCCTGGTGAAGCACGTCTGTTTTGAATTTTGTTATTTTGCGTGTTTTTGCTCCTCTAGCAGGATGACACAGGCCAGATGGCAACTTGGCAACCCTCACAAGCAATTATCTCGCGTATTGGGCATGGAATGTTTTTCGGCTCGTATTTGGTGAAGAAGTGAATGCCATTTCAGAGCTTTGGGACAGGCCGGGACAAAAGAGAAGGGGTGGCACCCCATTCCCAAGAGAATTGCCACGCAAAACTCCAGCCTGCCAGGAACTGTCCTTAGGAGAGGTGTTTCAGTCTTCCAGAGCAGGGAAAAAGCTGCCCAAATGTCCAGAAATCCCCAAATGGTTTCTTCTCCTATATATACCTGCCCAGACCGTAAGATCGTCCTCCGTGGTCCTTCTCTGAAAGCCCCCGTCAGAGGAAGGGAGGTGGGCCACGAGTAAGAAAAGGATCTTCTCCCAGTTGTACGACGAGGCGTCCCAGAGAAGTTTGTCAGGTTCCCACAGACCACCTGGAGTCCTTCCTATTTCCCAGGAGTTTTAAGTCTGTTTTAAACCTGTTACTGTATTTTGGCATTGCTGTGAGGCTCGACTTTGGCCTTTACTTCTCTTTGACATGGTTATTTTAAACGTTCATTGCATATTATATTGTTTATTTATTTTATGTTGTTAATTTTAATTTTATATTGTTATTTCTGTATTTTATTGTGTTGTAAGCCGCCCCGAGGCTTCGGCAAGGGGCGGCATAGAAATGTTTTAATAAATAAATAAATAAATAAATAATTTCCTGTTAAATTTCATGGTTGTAATTGCTGTATAGACTCCAACTGCTCCCGCTCCTGGGCAGCATGGAAGCCTAATAAAATATAGGAAAAATAAGTGACGGGCGACCAGGGGAAGTGGCTGGGGCCGCACGAAACGTACGGAAACATCGCATGGACCTTGCACAGCCGGAGCCTCCGACTACTCACGTGCTCTGAATGGCGCCGCCGAGGGGTGAGGATCGGGCCCGTGGTGCGGATCACGCCCGGCCGCATTCCGGCAGCGAAATGCGGGCAGCGGTAGGGACGCGGGTACGGGGGGAGGCCCGGTGAAGTGCCCATGATTGTGGGCTGGACCATCCACTGGAGGTTGTGGCTGCTGGTGATGGTGTTGAGGTTGGGAATGAAGCCGCTGGAACGGGAGCTGCTGCTTCCGGCCCCCGGGTCGGAGGGGTATTTCTGTGGAGAAGGAGGGGAACATGAGAGAGAGAGAGAGATTTCCCTGCTTCCCGAGGAGACACGCACGGGAGTTGGCACTGCTCCGAAGCCACCGATGTGGCACAGAATCTGGCCGGGGAGGGAGAAAGCACTCTGCACATGCTCCAGGGTAGTGTGGGGGAGGCAGCAGAGGAGGTGACCCGGTTCCCCTTTGATGCTTCTTTCTTTAAATGCGTGAGATATATGAAAATGCATTCAAAGGAAATGTGCAGGGGGGCAAAAACATCGCCATGCCTGAACACTTGCAGGGGCTTGCAGGTAAAAGCCCCCGGACTTGTTTCCTGTCTGCCAAGCCAGCCAGGAGAAGAGGAAGAGCTGGTGAAATGGCAGCGAGACGACAGAGGGCATCTTCTCGCCAAAATTGCCAGTTGTTATTATTTACAGCATTTCTACCCCATCCTTAACAGCGTCTCAAAACAAACAAACAAACAATAAATAAATAAAATAAAATCCAATGCCAGCAACAGCAGGAGAACGTGATTCTTTGCTTATAAAACACCGAGGCCTGGAGTTCTGCTTATTTTGCCAGAACGACCTAATCCATGCAGAGGGTAGACGTTCAACAAGCATTGGAAAGCCCCAGTATCTTTAGAAGTACCAAATAAAGTAAAAATTAAGGCTTTTAGCAGGGAAAATGACCCCAAACGGCCCAAGGAGGAATGAGCAAGCTCTGAGACTTGCTAGCAGGGGGAAGGTGAAATTGGAGGAATGGAATGGAGCAGCTTGGAAGAGGGTCTGGCTGGCTGACATCCTGGAACAACACCGCAGCTAGCAGATTTTTTCATTCTCTTCCCCCTCGGCCCAGGCCCAAACTTCACAATTCCTTCTACGCTACTAATACGTTAAAATAAACAGGCCAAAAGCCGGTTGCCAAACCTGATTACAAATGACACACGTGCTTCTGCTTTGTGGAATCAGAACCCAATGCTGATTCGCAACCAAAAGGAGTTGGCTTCTGGTGCATTAATATAAAACACATTTACGGGGGGGTGGGGATTACTCCATTCTGTGACTTAAAATGTTTTCACTGTTTTTCAAAATGATACCTAGCCAGTCAGTCACACCTCGGCTATATGGTTTTTGCAGAAGGATGCTGTGAGGAGCACCTGTGGGCCCAGGTGAGCCTGCCAGGCCCAGGTGGACGTCGGCACCCCTGCAGCCCTGGGTTATTCACACATGCGGCTGAAGCATCTTTCCCTGATCCGAAACCCTGACGAGGCAGACAAGAGTGACGCATCCTCGGTGCCAGACGTTAAAAATATGGCAAGATCCTTACGGGTGTAACTTGAGTTGAACTTCTGGTTCTGAGCCCAAATCCGGCTGCTCTGTATCGCATCGCTGTTTCTTTCCCATTCCAAAAAGTCAAAATGCCACGCCAAAGCTTTAGTTAAAGGCAGGTGGGGCTTTCGGCTAAAATCTCCCTGGATTCTGTTCCTGCTCCTTTTGTCTTGGCTCCGCTCACCCACTGAAGGTGCTTCCTGGAATGCTTGCCAAGATTTCACGATGGCCACCGATCTGGAAATGGGACTGGACAAATTGCTGGAGGAAAAGGTGATGCATGGCTGCTAGTCCTCATGAATCCTGCCTCAGAGGCACTCTATGCACACCAGTTCCTGGGGAGCACGGGCAGGAGGGAGTTAGTGTGTTCCTGACCTGCTTGCGGCTTTCCCATATTTGGCCGGTCAGTTCAAAATTCAAAGGTGATCATGGCAGCCGACAAAAGCTCCTCAAAGAAAACTTACTAAAAAGTCTGTGTGAGGTTTGTAAGCACCCCTGCACAGGCTTCCCCAAACCTCCTCCACTTGGGACCCTCCAGGCTACAACTCCCGACAATTCTTACATTGACCCTACTGGCTGGGGGTGATGGGTGTTGAAGTCCAGCTCACAGAAGGCTACCTCAGAGCTTCGGCAATTGGTAGCATGGAACCGTAACGGAGACTCAACAGATATGCAAGGATGACGGGTGGGTGGATTCCCACTGACATGAACGGAATCCTAACTTGCTCCATTCATTTCGATGGGCCTGCGTAGGACCGACATAGGATGCCACCCCAGAGGGCACAACCCCAGCCCCAAAGCTCTCCTTCCCCGGCCAGTTTGGACTCGGTCAGCACCTGCAAAGGGGCAAGCCTCGTTCGCTTCTCACGCAGGACGGCCCATTGGATCGGGCCCCATGTTACGGAGGGGCTGCAGCGGGAGAGGAAGATGCCTCAGAGTTCCTGCCCGGGCCCAAGAGGCCTGGGAGGGGCCCTGCTCTCACCTCACCTCACCTCACCTCACCTCCCAGGTGTGCAGCCCTCCGGGCACGTCCTTCAGGGGATTCTCAGGCCCACAGAGAAATAAATGGGTCACAGGCAGCAGCCTTGCTGATTCACGTGAACCTCGTGCCCTCCGCAGGCCCGCTGACCTAGTTCTGGGGGAGCCACTGCCTTGCCCCACAGCGTCCGGGCACACCTGCGGGCGCCACGCCCGGGCCTTCCGCATGGGGCGATGGCGTCAGTTCACCGCCCCACTCCCTGGGCGAGGCGCTCCGCTCGGCACGGACCCAGCCGACTGGTTGAGGCACGCCGGGCCCGCTTTCCGAAGGGGAAAGGGGCCGAGACACCCGAGCACCCCCGACTCAGCCGGGGCAAGCTCGGGAGGAGGGCATGGGGCAATTGTGGGGGGCGTCCAATCAGGATGGCAGGTTTTTACTTTTCTTTTACAATTATGCTTGCCCCTAAGCTTTTTCTTACGACAACCCTGCAAGGGAGTCTGGACTCAGATACTGCCCTAAACAAAAGATCACCCCAATGAGCTTCAGGACATGCAGATTTGAACCCCGGTCTCTCTGACCTGGTGCCCACTGAATATGCTGGGCTACAACTCCCACCTCCCACAGCCAGCATAGCTGGGGATAATGGGAGTTGTTGTCTAACACATCTGGAATGCGGGGACTGTTCCAAGAGACTAGAACAGCAAATAAAAACTTTTCTAATGCGTGGTATTCCACCGAAATTGCTTTGCTTTGCTAACCTCTGTTACTTAGAAGGCTGAGCAAACCGTCACGTCCCACAAAACTTTCTAGATGTGATCTGTATTTAGTCAGAGCCTTACAAATGGATACGGAAATAAATAGCAGCATTATGCAAGTTTCTAGCTGCACCCAGGGATGCTTGGCTAGTTGGAATTCCAGAGCAGCAAACCATGAGGAGAGTGAGGTGTAGTGGTGAGAGCAACGCAGGGCATTAGGTTCAAGCCTGGACAGAGGTCTAGCAAAGTCACAAAAGCGGTCGGCCAGGAAATCACGAACTGAGCCCTCCCTCGGCCACGAAGCCCCCTGAGTGACTCTGGACCAGTCACGGCCTGGCCTGCCTCGCAGGGCTGTTGGGCACCTGCGGTTCTTTGCAAGGGGAAAAAGGAGGGCCACAAATTCACAGTTATTCCAATCGTCTTATGCTAATTTATACCTCTATATGAACATCTAGAAGGAATCCTGAGGACGGGTTTAAACAACAGGGGAGGCAGAAGCAGTCTGTTAATTTCTCACCTAAATCCTGCTCCGAATTCATCCCATTCCCAGGGCACTGTCTGCCTGGGGCACACAAGCACCCCTTGTGCCAACCGACGGGCAGGAGGTGCCTGTTGACTCACCGGGCAGGATACCTCCCTCAGCAGGTCTGACTCAGGGTGGGACCTTCTCTGCCCACAGGAAGTCTGCCACGGGGTGCAGAGGGCAGGGTGGCCTCCTGCCACAAAGCCGGGACTGGATAAAGCCCCGGCTCAGACTTCGTGGCCACCCTCTGCCTCCTGCCAAGGCGAATTGCAGGGCTACTGTGCCCCGGGCCCCCCGGGAGTTTGCCAGCCCAAACAGCAGTCGACCAAACCTCGACACGGCAGATTTTGAAGATCTAAGCTGGTGCGCCTGCTTGAGTTGGTTACGACTCCCATGATCCCCAGCCTGAGGACTGTGGGAACGGCAACCCAACACATCTGAAAGGCGGCGAAGGGTGGTGTCCAGGGTGAGCTCCCACACCTGAGTCGAGCTTGGCCGAAAACCCGTCTCTCTCCACACCCCTCTGCCAGCCACGGCCTCCCTCGCAGGGCGGCTGCGCGAGGGCCGAGCTCTCGAGCGGTGCCCCCTCCTTGGGCACGGGGATGCGCTGCAGAGGTTATGGGGCAGGCAAACAACGCCCTTGCAAGGTAGGCAAACAACGCCCTTGCGAGGTAGGCTCTCGGGGGAGTCTGGGAAGGGTGGTTCCCAGGTACGTTTCACAAGAGGAGGATGACAGAAGCCGCCCGGCTTCCAGGGAAACTGGTCTCTGGAAGCAGGAGGCGAGAGCAGGGAGGGCCGCCCCACCCTCCCCGTCTCGAGTCTCGCAGCAGTGAGTGACTCGCTGACTGACGCCCTGCTCTGATGAGTCACCGTGTTATGACAAAGCACGAGATGACACAGCACAAAGCACAGACTCTCCCATCCTGCTCCAGGCCCCGCGACCCGACCCAGGTGTGGATGTGATTTGGGGGACGGCGGGAGGGGGGGAGGTCATCTTTCCACTAGCTTCACAGAGGCATCACCGGGCGAAGGCACAGACGGGAGGTGACGGCACGCTCGCCTCGCCGTGTTCGCCAGTTTAGCCCGGATCCCTCTTTCCAAAGCCTCGTTCTGCAGTTTGACCCTCGCTCAGACATCCCGTCCAGTCATACTTTCTGCCCCCCCACCCAAAAAAAAAAAAACCCAAGCAGGAAAGAAAGATCATAATCTACACCTGATTTTCTCCGGGGCTGGAAAAGGGGCACGTCTGTCTTTCTTCAGCCTCAGCCTGTAGACGCCGCTGTGCACCCCCCCCCCCCAGCCATGCACTCCCGTCGCCACTCGGCTACCGGTGGGACAGGAAGCACAAGGAGTTCACGACTCCCGTGACCCTGTGCCACAGTCTGGCTTCCACAGGCACCAGGTGTGTTGCTCACAGGTGCTGCCTCAGAGAATTACGGGAAAGTTAAGGGACAATGGGAAGTCCGGCAATGCCTCAGGGAGCATAAGAGAGCCTCCATTTTTAAGGGCAGTGTATCCCACAAAGCCAGGAAGCAAACAGGCAACGGAAAGGGCTGGTTCTTCGCAGGGGTTAGCCACTGTGGGAAACAGGATGCTGTGCGATTCTTTGGATTCCTTCCAGGTCATGAGGCTCATTTTAAGTAGGGAATGGGCCTGAACTCAGCGCTGCTCTGGGTGATGGGATCTGTAGTCCTCCTATCTGAAGACAGAGCACAGTGAAAGGTTACTTTCCAAGTCCTATCAGTCCACGGCACCTGGTCTTCCCCCGGTTCCTTTTCCCTCCCCTGCCAAAGAGTTCTGTCGTGCTTAAAGGCTGGGATGCTTGTATTTCCATCAAGGCGAGAGCGGGAGGAGGGGGCGGAGAGGAGAACGTTGGCTCACGTGTTGAGCCTTCGCTTCTGGGCCAAGAACTGCAATCATGAGCAGGGCTCATCTTCCCCTGCCCTGGAGCCTCTCTTTGATCCAGTGACTAGACTTCCCTTGCAGAAGGTAAAAAGGACAGAGCCCTAATGAAAACTCGCCCCACACACCTAGTATACAGTCCCCAGTGAGCGCAGCCTGCATGGTGTGGAGAAAACAGATTTTCTCCCTCCGTTGTAATTTTAGGACGCGATGCGGCCATCCCAGGATTGCGGGGAGACTCAGGACAGGTAAAAGGAAGGACTTCAAACTGTGGAACTCACTTCCACAAGATGGAGGGATGCCCACCTATTTGAACGGGGACCGGACAAAAGATGCAGCTATCCGTGGCTTCCAGGCTTGCTGGCTGCTGCTGGGGAGCATGGGTGGTAGGGTTTCTGTAGGTACACTGTGTGGACAGCATGCTGAGTGAGGAAGACCCCCAGTTTGATCTCACAGGGGTCTTATGTTCACCCCATCCCCATCCCCAGAAAGTGGCAGGCATGGAAATCCAATTACCCACACTTATGGGGCACCTTCGAATAGTCAAGGGCAGAACAAAAGTTACACAAGAGAAATGCCAAGCCGCTACGGACTCCCCCCGCCCACCCCCAAATTCTGGCATTTAGCAAGAACAGCCTAAAGTAGCCGCCCCCAATCCAGTATCCTGGATGATCTGGAAATGAGCCTCTATCAACCCCCCACCCCACCCCACCCCACCCGCCACCACAGCAAATGGTCAGGCGCACAGAGAATTGTTCCCAAAAGCGTGTGCCACACATGCATCACAAAAGACAGACACACACGCCTCAAAGTGGCCCCTGAGTGTGCTTTTTAACTCTGCCCTCCTCCTCTTTTTTCCTCTGGGACAGCCTCCCATGGAGCAAGGGGGCCCTAACGCAAAAATGTGCTTCCAAGATGGCTCCTCCGGGCCAGCATGCACCCTCCAGCTGAAAGTGGACTAAACCCACGGGGCTATCCCAAATTCGCCCCCACACCAACCCCCCCCCTAACTTCCCCCTTCTGAAGCCCCCAGGGGTCCTGGCTGCCTGCGATCTCTCTGACCTCCCCGCAATCCTATTTGCCTTTTCCAGACAGACGACTCGGGAACATGGTCCTTCCGCAAAGCCAGACTTAAAAATCACAAGTCTTTTGGTCTACTGGGCGGCTGGGGCACCGCTCCAGTCTCTTGCCCCCCCCCCCCCCAAAAGACCATCTGTGCTTGTGGAGTAACTGTGTACTCATACGTGCAAATCATATACAATCAGGATATTTATAATTAAGAGAAATAACCTTGACAAGGAAACAACCTCCGTGTGTGCTGAGCTACCGTCTCCCCCAGGGGTTGGTTGGGTAGGATGGAAATGTTGGTTTAATACCTTCCAGGGGCACCAGGCTGGGGAAATCTAGAGTAAAACATCCTATAAACACCCACATAAGATACAGAAGAGATATAAATATATAGAAAACACGGCGCTACACCTACACAGAGTGCCTGTGTTTTTCCTTTTCCCTCCTCATCCTTTTTTCTTTTAGTGCCATCTTCTTAAAAACTGACATTCAAACTGTAAGCCCCCAGGACAGAAACTGCCTTGTTTGTATCGATCCATAAACACCATAGGAAAATATCTATTAAAAAGTTATGAATATATCAACACAGATTTATGGAATTCCACAGAAATTCTAATGGCAGCCATTCAACCTCCCGCACTCTGCATGCGGAAAAGATCTATTAATCTCTTTCTCCTGCCATCCCTCATCACAGGCAGCCCTCCATCCTTGGAGGCAGCTCCTGTCTGAGTAACCGACTTTCCCGCTCCTTCGGTCAGAACCCCTTTTTCAAATTTTTAAACCCAGGCCATGTAATATTTATAAAAATGATCTTCCCTCGCCTCAAACGGAAGAAAAGGCGGCCCGAATTAGGGCTTCTTTGCGCGTTCAACAGCAGGCCCCAGCCTTGGAGGACACGTGTGCGCGGGCGAGCGAGCATCCTGCGCGCATTAAGGTCGTTCGGGCGACGACGCCAAGCAAGAGAGCTCGCGAGGGCATGTACAGAGTGCCTGAGGCGGGGTCCCTTACCTGTTGCTGAGCCCCTGGGCGTGAGGCGGATGCCGGGTCCTCCAACGGAGGCCGGGGAGCTCCGGGAGCGGGTAGCCTTCCCCCTCCGAAATTCTTGAACATCTCAACCCAGCCGCGGATTCTCCCACGCTCCGAATGAGCCTCGGCCGCCCGCCTTGACTTTTTTATGAATGGGAACTCCTGGGTCACGTTACTCCGCGAGGGGGAGGGGGAGGGGGAGAGGACAAGGCTGTCACTCAGCGGCGAGCCCCGCCCCCGGCCCCCCGCCCCTGGGGCCGGCGGGGACGGCGAGCCCGCGCCCGGGCCGAGGAAGGGGCCCCCGTGCCCGCCGGCCCGCGCGGAGAGGCCGTGGAGGGGCCCGAGCCGCCGCGCCCCCCTCCGCGAGGCCGCGCTTGGTACGTCCCGACCCGTGAGTCACGAGGGGGTGACGTAGATACCCTTAAATGGCTTGATTTCTTCCTGTTTCGCCGCTTTAGAAAAGGATTCCCCTCTGGCCAGGTTTCGCACGTGCGTGATTTGAGCCGTGCGAGTCCCTTTTTTTGAAAAAAAAGCGGGTTCTCTTTTCAAAAGCCATTTTTTTGCCTGAAAACGTCTTCGGGGGATACGAAGGACTCGCTTTGTGGGGCTCAGAAAGGAGCACCGGGGCTCAAACCTGTCTAAATTGACAATAAATACCATCACCCTCCGTCTTCTTCGACAATCTCTCCTTATTAACCTCGAGGGTTTATTCAATGTGGGAGAACAGAGGCACTCTGCACACGCTCGGGATCCCTTTCCAACACATTTACATCGGCCTTTCTTCCTCTTGCGAGGCACACCACTCCGCACTGGATCGGTAAAAATGTCTGAAACCGAGGCTCGGGCTTTTTCGGGTGCTTAAAAAAGGAGGAGGGCAGGCTCAGGGGCTGAGGTTTCGCTCCAAGACCTGGAGGTGGGTGGGACGCAAAGGGACGTGGTTCCGGGCTTGTAGTAATTCGGAAACGGAGAAACCACATCCTCGTGTGCCCGCCGCCCCATTCCGCCGGGCACGCGTCTATCCTGCCGGTTTCATCCAGATGGCGTCTTCGCAATTTGCACGGGGGTGACTCACACCCTCGGGGACAGCTAAGCGGGGAAATCCCCGATCTTTCCCCACGAGGAATGGAGCTACGGGGCAGAGCCCTAGACAGCGAAACCCGCGCGCCACCGCTTCAGGAGGGGGATGCCGCGCAGTGGGAACAGATAACTGGGGTTCTCCTGCAAAGAGCACGGGGTTTGAAGGAGCGCGAGGGAAACCCCGACTCCCGGATCCCCCTTCCAAGCACGTGAGCCGTCGGAAGGGGGAAGGAATTGTGAAGCCTAAAATCCCCCCCCCCCACCACCATCACACATCTCTCTCCAGAAGGAATCACGGAACCCATGCTCCTGAAAGTGGTGTTGGATTCCCATCAGCCCCTGCCAGCAGGGATTATGGGAGACTGAATCCACAGCTTCCCTGCTTTAGGCCAAACAGGAATGAGCAGAGAGCGAGTTATGTGGTGTCTGGACTTCAGTTCCCCTCATCCCTGACCACCGGCCATGTGGGCAGAAGCCAAAACCTTTGGAGACCAAAACCTCTGGAGAGCTACTTTCTGTCCACTTTAGAGGGTTCAAAGCCCTTCCTTAGGTCATTCTTACAACAGCCCTGCAGGGAAGGCCACGGTTGTTTCCCCCCTTTGCGGATTTGCAGGCAGCAAACAACCTGATAAGCTGGATAAACAACAAAAAATATTCAGAGCAAAAACTAGAGGCATGAGGACAAGTAGCAAGATTTCTTCTTTTACTTTCTGTCTTAGCCTGGTTCCAAGAAGCAAGAACAGAAAGTAGCTGAAAACGAAACTGAATGAAAGTGGTCTGAGAAGCAGAAACCGTGTCCGCACCTTCCCCGCAGGAGTGGAACACCTGGCCAAGATATTCTTGGACTCCAGTCTCCATCAGCCCCAGCCAGCAGGGCCAGGAGTCAAGCGTGCTGAGAGTGGCTCTCCAACAACTTCTGGATGGTGCTGGGTCATTCAGTGCAAAAGCTGACACAGTGCGTGATAGCAAGAAGTGTGCTTTCTTACACGCGGGGGGGGTGGGTCTATTCCACACGCATCCTTGGGGGAAAACATGAGTGTCCCAGGGCATGTACAGTCACCAGGGTTTCCGTGAAGAGGGAAGCGGGGAGCTTTGGAATGGCTCTTCCCCAGAGCGTTGGTTCCCAGTCTCCTTGTTTTAGAAATGTAACCTTTGCGAACATTCCGGTTCGCTTGCAACTCATTTAAGGCTTTTGAATGGGCTCCCCTACATTGGAATGCTTTATTCCCATTTGACAGACTGGGAAAACTGAGGCTGGGTGAGGAGGGGGAAGGGGAAGGAGAGAGGAACCGCATGGTGCTGGGATTATAAACCTCTCCCCATCTCATCCCAAGTCTCATCCATGCAGCTTTCCCTAGTGTGGAAGCCCAAGGGAATGATTCCTCTCACCTCCACAAGGAGAGTGTCTTTGACTTCCACCATCAAAGCAAAGAGGCTCCAAGTTCATTTCCAGCCTCGGAGGGGATTCCCTGGACTTTTTATGGATGGCCAAGAGTTAAAAGAAAGGTTCTCTGAGATTCGACAGGATATGAGACACCCTTTTAGGGCTTTGGTGACTCACCTTGGGAGGAAGAGCGGCGGGGGGGGGGAGGCTGCATACCCATGGCTTGTCCCCAAATACTAACCGAAGCCCAGGAGGGGCACATAAAGGCCAATTAAACTAGCACAGAAAGGAGAGGCTGGAAGCTCTGGGCTTAGAGGCAGAATGGAGGGAGGGGGCTGCTCTCTCTGGCCCTTGAAAGTCTTCCTCTGGCCCAGGTTCACAAGACGATTTGCATGGGCTGATTTATAGCTACATATGCAAACACGGGAATAAGGAGCATGATCTCATGCTCTGGAGCCCGACCGGAGGACTGGAGCCCTGCCTTTCTCCCTCCCCTGTTCGCAGCCGGAGCAGCAAGACCTGGGTAGACAGAGGGGCCAGAGGGGCAGGGAGATGAGGGGGCTGGGGGCGGCCGGGCACCTTCCTTCCCCCTACAAAAATGACCTCCCCCCACATGGGATGCCATAAGCCCCCAAGGTCTGGGGCTTACAGGATTGTGTCCTGAAGCAAAAATATCCCGGCATTTGGGGCTGAGCTGGCCCCTCCTCTTGAGCCGCAGTGTGGCCCCCAGGCAAAGCAGGTTCCCCACCCCCGCTGTAGCACGACTCCCCCCCCCCCAATAATATTACCAAATGGAAAAAAAGGCAAATCAAGGAAGACATTCCAAACATGGGGCCCAGGGGCCCCCCCCCCCCCCCCCCCACTCACCACGCAAAGCGCGCGAAGCTGCGCCCGGCCGTGCCGTGCGGTCTGGCAGGCTGCTTGGCCGGCGGGACGGCGATGGCCAACGTCCAAGGGGTCAGAGGCAAGTCTGAGAACGGCTGGCACGATATGTGAGGTTTCTCTATACTTTTCGGGTTAGTCATCTCTCCTCTTCCTCCCCGTCCACTCACTCACGTGTCAAGGATGTGCCTCGCTTCTGGCCCCTTCTGCCTCGGTCCTCAAACGCACCACTCTGACTCTTTCCCACTGCGGACGAAGGAGCGAGCCGGAGTCAGAAGCCAAGATCTGGGACACGAGGTTAGGGCGAGTGCAAGAGCGGGTGGGTGGCCTGCCTTCCAGTCTTCACGGAGAGTCTGTTCAGCGAGACCCGATTTCCCCACTGAGAGGCAGTGTTGCATAGCAGTTAGAACCGCCCTCCCCGACTTGGTAGAATCTGTCTTAGCATCGGTCCTGTTTGAAGTTCTTTTCCTGCCCTTGATCTCCTCCCAGCCCACTTCAAAGGGAGACAGGCACCAGGAGGGTAAGCCTCCAGGGCAAAAGTCTGGGTCCCCAATTAGTGGAATGAGCAAGAAGGCATGCCACTGTGAAAGCAGCTGGAGCTCTGCCAGACAAAAGGAAAACCCAGCTGGGGTTGTAATCCAGAACTGTAGCCCCTCCCCAGTGCATATCTACCCCTGGGGCCCCCCAGGCAGCTACTCCTGAGTCATCCCCCCTCCCCCCCAGCTTCTGCTTCATCATCCCTTTGGCACCTGAATTGGTGCCACAATTCTAATGCTGTGAGTCACCCAAGATTTGGTGTCAGGCCTGGCACCCACCAATTCCTTCCTTTTCTCCTTCCTCCCCCACCCACAAGCCCACGCACACCCCCGATAGTCAGGGGCAATGGGCCAAGAGAGGTGAGTCATCCGTGCCCATGTTCCCCTGCAGCTCCTCGTCTTCTCTTTCAAAGCCCTCTCTAAGAGCGTGGCAAAGAGGAACAGGGCGCGAGGAGACAGCTAGCCTGGAAGTCACACATGCCTTTGTCTTGTCGCCTCATTCACCCCCTGCATTTTGCAAGCACAGAGGAAAGCACTCTGTGCATGCTCAGGGGCAGCCTCCTCTGCCATAGGTTCCAGAGCAATTCCCTGAGCAGAGGAAAAAAATGCAGCCGGCATCAAAAGTTCAGGCCCAAATTTCCCCGAGTCCCGGTTGCTTCTCTCCGTTGCACATGTAACTCTCCCACTTCCAAGGTCCTTTAGCACCCCAAAAGAGGGGGAACCTTTTGCACTATCCCTGCCCAAGTTCCAGAGGACGGTGCTAAACTCACCAGGACTACAGCCCTCTGCACATGGCCAGAGACACACACCAAGGATGGATGCATGAAGACAGTTCTATCTTGCCTTTTTCCCTACAAGGAAGCTGACCGATTTCTCCTCCTCCTCCTCCCACCCTCTCAACAACCCTGTGAAGTAGGCCAGGCTGAGAGAATGACTGACCCAAAGCCATCTGGAGAGCTTCACAGTCAAACAGGGACTAGAGGCCCCTTTGGACTACAATTCCTATGCGCTCCAGCAAGCATTATCAATGGCCAGGGATCGTGAGCGCTGTGGGCCACACATTTGGAAGGCCAAAACTGCGTTCTAGAGTCCAGCTTTGCACCAGCGCGATCCCCTCCAAAAGTTTCGGACGACAACTCCCGCCACGTTGCTCGGGATGGGAACTGTAGTCCAGCAAGCGTGGCTGAAAAGACTTCCGGCCGTTCCGGGGTTCGGCTCTGGGACCCCGGCCGGGTGGCACATGGCCGAGGCGACGACGCGAGGGCGCCGGGCGGGGGGCGCGCAGTCCGGGGCGAGGGAAGCCCCACTGGACCCCGCGGGCTGGCTCCCCACGACGCGCGCGGGCGAGGGGATCGCAGCCCCGCCGCGCTTCCCGCTGGCGCCGGACCCGCTCTTGCTCCACGGGGCTCCACGGGGGACCTGCCCGCGCGTCCCCGGGCGCGCCCCCTCCCTGGCCGCCCGCCCCCAGCCGGGGAAGCGCAGGGGGCGGCGCCTCGGCGGGATCCGCCGGCCGGGAGGCCGCCACCAGCGCGCAGTCCCCGCGAGGGGCGCTTGGCGTGCAGGGCGACCCGGGCGCCGCGGGAAGCAGCCCGGCCATGCGGGCGCCCGCGCTGCCGGGCGGCCTGGCGCTGCTGGCGGTGCTGGCGCTGTGCGCGGCGCGCTGCCGGGCCCTGTCCTTCCAGCTGCCGCCGCGGGCGCGCAAGTGCCTGAAGGAGGAGCTGCGCCGCGACGTGATGGTCACCGGCGAGTACGAGGTCTCGGGGGGCGCCCGGACCGACCTGCGGGTGAGCCGCGCCGCCTCCCCGGGCGGGAGCAGGAGCGGGAGCAGGAGCGGGCGCGCACCGGGGGTGGATTCAGCCCCCCCGCCGCCCCCCGCAGCCCCGCGCGGCGCCTCGGCCGGCCCTCTGCACGGGCGCAGGGGCGCTGCGGCTGCCGCTCCGTTTGCAGCCCCGCGGGCCCTTCCCTCTCCCCGCAGGTCACCGACTCCTCCGGGCACCTCCTCTACTCCAGGGACGACGCCCGCAAAGGGAAGTTCGCCTTTACGACGGATGACTACGAGGTCTGCGAGATCTGCTTCGAGAGTCACGGGCAGCCAGGTAGACGAGCAGCGGGGCAGGTGCCCTTGTCCCCCTCGGCCCGCCCTGCAATGCCCGTCCAAGCATTGTTCCACAAAAGTATTACATCATCATCATCATCATCATCATCATCACTATTTAAACTCTAGCCTAATCTTCTCTACCTGTATATACCTAGCTCAGTGGTACCTTCTGTCACTGATCGTGTTAACATAAGTTTTGTATCTGCTTTTGCAGGGCATTTCCGTGTCCCCGACCAGCTAGTCACCCTCAATATCAAACATGGGGTGGAAGCACGGAATTACGAGAGCGTAAGTATGCTGAATATATTTGGGGTGCCCCATGGAAGGGAATGCAGGTACATCTGTGGTTCATCCTTACGACGAGTAAAGATCATGTCACTTTTTTTGCACTGCACTCCGAAAGTGGTTACTTCTTCAGAGTTGGCATATCAACAGTTCAAGGTTTCGCCCTCCCCAGCACAGGGGTTACTAGGCCTGTCCCTGAACCTATTTCCCAGGGCCCTGAACCTATTTCCCAGGGCTTATTCCACAAAGCCCTGAAAGTCCATTGGTGTCATGAGAAAGGGTTTTTTTCTTGGCTTGATTGCCACATAGGGGAAATATTCATGGGGGATTGCAGCTGGGAGGAAAAGAATTAACTCCCCCTCCTCACATACTGCACCACTCTTCCCAGCCCCTCCCCTCCAAAAAAACCAACCTTCCCTGCATGGCAATAAAGCTTAGAACAAGCTTCCCCCTCTTTTATTTTGCATGATCCAAGCCAGTTTGCAGAGAAACTGAAAAATGTTTTTACCTTGACATGATTTGATGAGAAGTTAATGAGCTGACTTTGCCTCTGGTGCAATGCAAAGAAATCCAATTTCTGAACGATCCTATATAGATATAAATTGGCATGTGCAGGTATTTTATGGAGATTTGTGTCCGTGGTTTTGGGCCCTGAATCTCCCCAGAAACGGCTGCCTCTGAGCTAGGTGAGAGATGCCTCGATAGAGGACGATTCCAGGGGCCTGGTCCTCTGAGGGGCTTTGTGCCGGTTTGCCACTCACCCCATCGCCACCTTTTCCCGCAGATCGCGAAGGCAGAGAAACTCAAGCCTTTGGAGGTAGATTTGCGGCGGCTGCAGGACCTTTCTGAATTCATTGTCAAAGACTTCGCCTTCATGAAGCAGCGGGAGGAGGAAATGCACGACACCAACGGTAACTGGCTTGGAGATTTGATTTTGCTGCTTGGTTTTTCCCACCTTCAAATAGATTTTTTTCCCCCCCTTTTTGGGGAGCGCCTGAAAATTTCATGGTCCACCCACGGGTGGCAGTGGGGCTTGGGAAATCCAGCTGCTCTTCCCCACTCAGCTAGGAAGCCCCTTCGCTGTAGACTCTCACACCAGACCTTACCTCACAGCATTGTTGTGAGGAGGAGATGTGGAGGAGGACGATCTTGTGAGCCTCTCTGGCTTCCTTGCGAGAGGAAAAATGGTGGGATATAAATGTGGTGTGATGATAGCTAGGCTGAGGTTGGGTGATGAAGGGAGACGTCTGGAGGACCGCCACGCACAAAGGGTCCCCCGGCCCTGGGCCCAACTTAACAACAAGGCTTAGAAGGGGAAGCCAGCCCTGCTCTGCCATTCGCTTTCCTTTCTCTTCGCAGAATCCACCAGCACCCGCGTTTTCTACTTCAGCATCTTCTCTATGCTTTGCCTCGTGGCTCTGGCCACTTGGCAGGTTTTCTACCTCAGGCGGTTTTTCAAGGCTAAGAAACTCATCGAGTGATCAAGCCCTGGCTGAGGATGGAGGCTGGGAAGGAGACTCTGAATCCCACCTTCCCAGGACTGGTTTGCAAGGGAACTTCAGTATGAACCTGCTGTCTGCTCTCTCCCTTCCTAAGGACTTGGACAGATCCAGCACCATCTGGATCCTTTTCCGCAATTCTTTTCTCGGCAAGGAGTGGCACATGGTCACTGGGAAAATGGTGATCCCCCCGTGGATTCCAGCAGCTGGATGTGAAAACAATGCCCTGCTTTTCTTTTTCAACTCGGAACAGTCCGTAGGGGTGGGTAAATGCAGATAATTACATCCCAAATGCCGAGCACACTAAAGAATGTTTGGAGATAATAAATACTGGTTCCTAGCTATCGCTGGTATTTGGGCAGGTGGAAAAGAGTCCGTGTCCGCATCACCTCCGCATAATTTTCTCAGGGTCTTGGGTATGTAGAATTTGGCAGGATGAATACAGTCTTAGATGGGTGACTGGGAAGGGAATCCTTCAGTTCCTCACTGGATTTTGTAAGATTGGCCAAAATGGTAATTTTGACCTGTTGGTCATTATGCAACGGGGGAAGCTGGGGGGTGGCGAGAGAGGGAGAGAGAGAGAGAGTCTTTTGTGCATTAGAGCTTTTTCCCATTACCAGTTCTTACTGGCCTCTTGGTTTGTCGCTGGGTTGCGGTTTTTTGTGGTTAATGTCCCTGTGGCTGGGACACATAAAAGCTCAAATTTCAGTGGCAACCCACACCGAACCTTTAAAAGTGGGTTGTCGTAATGCAGCCAATGTCTCATACGAAATGCCAAAGCAAGCCAGACCAAGGACGATAAGTGCCAATAATTTGGTTAAGGCACAAATTGGGGGTCTGCAGGCTCCTCCTGAGTTGGCCAACCCCCAGATGCAAACAGAGCAAAGGCTTTGAGGTGGCTTTCAGGCTCACAGTGCGCCATGTTTGCGCAAGATCGGTCAACCGCAATCCCACACATGGGTCATCATACGCAAGTAAAAAGAGGGAGCATCGTCACACTTGCATCTCCAGGATAACGTACCCTGTGATTCTGCAGCGGTGAGTCACCAGCCCAGCGCTTCATTTCGGCTTGCTCAGAGGTTGGAGATCGTTGCCCAAACATGCATTTATTGCAAACGCATTTCTGAGATACCTTGCCATTGCCAAATTGTGCTTGTTTATTCCTTTATATCTGGCCCATTTTTTCCCTGCAAGGAACCCTAGGCATCCTCCTGCTTTTATCCCCACGACATCCCTGTGAGGTGGGCCTGGCTGGGAGGCAGTGACTGGCCCAAAGGCGGCCAGCGAGCTTCCCTGGATCTGCCACGTCCCAGTCCAAAAATCAAACCAATGTATCCCATGGGTGTTCAGTGTAGTTTTCAGGTCAAACCTCCTACACTCTCATCTCAGAGGTGGTGTGAGGGGCTGGCTCAAATCTCCAGGTGGGTCTGCGGGGAGGATTTTGGGGATCAAGTGTAGGGGGTGCCCTCTAACTCCGCCTTGGTCCCTGCAGGAGTGGAAGGAAGGATAGCAGAGAAAGGGGAAGCCCTTTTCCCCACCATCTTGCTGTCCAGAGTGCTTTGCTGGAAAAATGGTCGAGGGGCCCTCATGGATCTCTGTCACTTCTGAGCCCCCTGGATTAGCCAACTTTTGGCCCGCATGGGCTTCTTCTCCTGATGCCCCCTTGGGTTTCTCTGCCTGCCTTTTTCCTGCTAGAAGATCCCCTCCTTCCCTGTCCATGCGTCCCTTTTTACACGAAGGGGTGTCTATAGGAGACAGGCTCCTTTACGGACATTAAAGCACATACGCATATTTGCATATGCAAACTTGAGTATTTATTTTGTCGGATCTTTCCGAAGCTCAGCACCGCCTTTGCTTCAGACCCGCAAGAAACGGGCCCGCTGGAAAGTCTGACTGTGAGTAGCTATGCGAGTGCGAGTCTAACCTTTCGTGAGTCTGCGGGCACGCGGCACAGGCAGGGGGACTCCTTTTGCGGGTGCACCAATTGACGACCGTGGGGTTTCCATGGCAACGGATTCTTCGGCTTGTTCGAGGCGCGTTCATGGCGGCGGCGGGGATGGCTTCGTCTTCCTCTGGGGCCGCCGGCGAAGGGTAATTTTAAGAGGAAAGGGGAGGGGGAACAGCGCTTGTCATTTTAAAGAGAAATTGGGGTCTTTTGGGGAGAACAGTTATTTCCGCCCCCCCCCCCGACTCCTCGTTGTGATGGGATGCCGGGATTCCTGGGTCCCTCCTTATAGGGAGGCGTCTGGATACGAGTTCGGATTCCTGGGTTCCTTTCCTTTGCAAGGGGGCGGGGCGGGGGGCTTATGACTAAAGGTTCATTGCTCGGACTCCTGGGTCCCTAGAAGGCGGGGGGGGGGGAGCGCACGTGCGCGCGCTTGTGTGTTGAATTATCATCTCGGCGGGACTCCTGTAAGCCTTTCTAGCTGTTGTATCATGTAACAGGCGGAAATCCAACAGGTGCTGCTTTCTGTGTCCACCTGTCCCGTTTCTGCCAAAGCCATAAGGCTCTCTGGCCATATCAAAAGGAGAAAAGGGGTGGGGAAGAAGAGTAGCTGCCCCATTCAGGGCTAGGGAAGCTGTGACCCTGGAGATGTTGGACTACAGCCCTCATCATCCCTGGCCTTTGGCTGTGCTGGCTGGGGTTGATGGGCATAGAGTCCCAACAATAGCTGCAGAGTTGGGGGTTGCCCATCCCTTGAAGAAGAGTTGATCCTGTGCAAGTAAGACTCCGACACACATAATCCTCCAATTTGCATGCTGACTGAGGCATGCTGGGAGCTATAGGTCCCCCCCCATCTAAGCAGGCATAGAATTGCACCCAAAAATGTAAACAACTGTGCATGCATTGGCAGAAAGGCAAAATATGTATGACTGTATAAACAAACAACCTTCAAAGTTGTTTACTGAGCTCTAAAAGTACCTAAGAGCTGTGCAGGATCAGACCCTGCATCCATCCAGTCCATCATTCTGTTCACAGTGACCTGCTGGCCACACAGGAAACCCGCAAGCCAGACAGCAGCGCAACAATATCCTCCCACCCATGTTCCCCAGCAAGTAGTGTGCATAGCCTTATCCAATCCCCTTTTACAGCCATCCCAGTGGGATAGATGCCTGTTATTTTAACAAGGGCTTGTTTATTAAAGAAGGCTTACATGGGGACATGCCCTCTTGGGAATGTGACTCTGAACTGAATGTATCTGCCTGCAAAGTCTCAGGTGCCTTTTCTCTACCCCTCACCATGTTTGGCAGCTCTCAAGCCAACTCCAAATGGCTGGATGCCCATTACGACCCGGTGGCTAGCCTGTATACATTTTCCTCTTGTGTTGGTAAGTCAGGACTCTTTCTGTAACTTCCTAATAAGCAGTCTCTTCTCTTCTCCTTTCTTCTCTTCTCCTCTCTTCTCTTCGAGGGGTGGGTGCTGGTGGGAAGAGTTGTCATAGTGATTGAGATGACATGGCCAAAATGCCAACATATTTAAACATCTCTGTTTCTCCCTGTGTTCACAAGAGGTAAAAGCATTGTTTTCCATCACAGCTTAAAAAAAAAAAAATCAAAACCAGCCTTCCAAAGCTGGCTCTTTGAAGGGTTTCCCTTGAGCTGGCATTTCTAGAAATGTAATAGGTACACCTGATCTGGGCTTGGAATGCTTCACATCCCAAAAAGCACATACTCACACCCCCCCACAGAGTCCCATGCTCGAATTGTGGGGCAAGATGAGGCAGGGGGAAGCGAGCGAGGCCTTGAAGGAAATCACCTCCTATTGCCTTCTGAAAACCATAGGTAAGGAGGCCGAGGCCTCTCCAGCCTCCTGCAACTCTGCCCGCCAGTTCCCGTTTGGCCCTCCCACTGAATGGGTCTGCTTTTCCTTCCAGCGCTGGCTGACCTGCATGGAGACGGAGACTATAAGGTAAGGGTGGCTGCTGTCACACTCACAAACCGAGCACCGGCCCTTCACATTTCTTCTATCACGCCTGCACACTGATGCCCAGTCCGGTGACTCTCCGTCCCACCACCACCCTTCCTGCTGGCCTAACTGGCCATGCAAACCACACGCCTGTAAATGCACACAGTCAGTTGCTGCAGTATAGACTGAGTGCATGTTCCTAGTCCTCATTGTTTCGTGTGTGTACTTTTTGTGAGGTTTACTGGCGTAGCCTACCCTAGCACCTTGGCGTGCTAAAAGACTGTAATTATGCATCCTTACGCATCACAGGAGGAAGGTCCTGGCTTTGTTTTCCTGTTTCTTTTCTTGCGCAGCTGGTGGTGGGCAACTTGGGCCCTACGGGGCATGAGATGAAGCTGAAGGTGTACCAGGGCATGGGGCTCCTGAGCGAAAATGCCCTGCCAGATTTGCCTGCGAGCGTGGCCGCTTTCTTGATGGAGCAGCACGAGCCACGCATGCCCGCCGTGGCGGTGGCCTCCGGGCCCTACATCTACGTGTACAAGAACCTGCGTCCCTACTTCAAGTTTACACTGCCTCCGATGGAGCCGAACCCCATGGAGAAGGAGGTTTGGGAGCAGGCGAAAGAGGTGAGGAACAGGAGGCCGGATTTCGGGAGAGCTGGGCTGTTGTCGTGTCTCCGGGCATATAAGTTTCCTTCTGATCCGTGGGAGAGGAGAGCTTAGCTCTTCCACACACACACACACACACACACACCCGCCCAGTGATGGGCGAAGTCTCTCCCTGGGTGTGGAGACGTGTGTTTTCTGGGAAATTTTCTGAAAAAAACATGCCTGTGTGAGTTAGCTTAAAATCAGGATGATTTGAACTGTGCAATGAAATTTTTCAGCAAGCGTCACAGCTGTTGCCCTCCCGTAGGGATGGCAGACCTGTCCGCCTTCCACAGAAGGCAACGCTGTTTTGCTGCTTCGTATTCAGCCTTGCTTAGCGAGTTCTTAAATTCTGCTCGTCCTTGAGTTTTTCCCCCTCATGGTCAATTGGGCCATTTGGAGATTTCTCCAACTTTGCCGTGCCCCTTGGGTCTGGGTAAGGATGCTGTTGTGACTGCGTCACCAAAGTGGGTGTTGTTGCTACACCCTGAGAGACAATAGTTTCGCTTTGTCCTCAGCTGTCCACCTTTCCAGAGAGAGGTTCCACTGGAACAGTAGGCATAATATATGTTAAAATGTTGGACAAGAGGTGGCCGAGTAGGACCCTGTGTGTGGTAACTTCATGGAAGACAGATCCCTTATTAACTTGGGTTCATATGTATGACATTTCTGTCCCACTGTTTGTTTGTTTGTTTGTTTACTGAAAATATCCCTATCTCATTCTTCCATTAAAAGTGAGGAAGTTAGTTTTCCTGCAGTCAGTGCCTGGACCAATTCTAGGGAGCACCTGTCTTCTCTCTCTGTAGGACAAGGTGGACCTTCTGTTGATGAAGGAGATGCTGGAGGTGATCCGGTGAGTAGCTCTGAGGTGAGGCGAGGGCTCTTCTTCCCTGAACCATCCATCTGTAAATGCAAGGCGGATGGAAAACTTCGAATCCCAAAAGGCAAACAAGAGGCGGCAAACAGGGGACTGGAACCTAGAAGGCCAACCTGCCCAGGGACAGCAGGGGGCGCTAGTCAACCATAAATACGGCAGGACTCGCAAATGTAGGCTTTCACCCTATTAATGTGCAGTGGCTCTTAGCAACCCGCCCAGCTTTTTCTTGCAATGGCTAACATGGGTTACAGAATCCTCCCTCTCCGTGGGAAGCAAGTGTCAGGTTAGCTGGTTTTGTCTTTCTAAGGCGATTTTCCTAGCCTCTTGGCCACCTCCAGCCAGCATGGGATCATGCCTGCTCTCCTGACTTGCCTTGTCTTCTTCCCCAACAGGGAAAATGCAGAGATGCCCCTGTCAGTGCAGTCCCTGAGGTGAGTTTTTTGGCAGAGATCTAGAAACACCTCACTTTGGGCTTGATGGGCAGATATCCTTCGTCCTTTCCTCAGCCTTTCATCTTCTGGTTTCAACTTTTTAATTATTTTCTCTACTAATTTAAACTAAAACAACAATTATTCCCGAGACATCGGCCATACTGGATTAATATCTCATTCTTATTACAATTAATAAATATTTCAGCTCTACATATAATCCCATTTCTCTAACCAATGATAGGAAAAGTCCCAGGTTTGATAGAAGTGTGTATCTCCCTTCTCCTTCAGAGCCAAGTCAATCTGTCCATTTCCGCACAGTCCAGGATCTTTTTTAGAATCAGCTCTTCAGATGTTAGCCTTTCATCTTCAGAGGGTCGCTGCAGGTGCCCTCTTTCACTTTCTCTCTCTCTGGGGACCTCATGCTGCCGCTTTCCCCTCTGCTCTGCAGATTCCTGGCGCTCGATCCACCTGAGATGGAGTCCTTTGTGAACCAGCATAAAGTGCACCCCATCAAGCGCCAGGTATGTTCTCCCTATGCCTGAAACTGTGGGGGGGGGCGCTTTGGGGCTCAGCCCTCCCTAGTTCGGTGCCAAGAGAAGCACATCACCCCCGGCACGTGTCTTTCAGACGGTGATCACGTGCATGGCCACCCTGAAGAAGAACATGGTGGACGAGGAAGCCATCAGCTGCTTGGTGATCGGGACAGAGAACGAGGAAATCCTGATCTTGGATCCCGAGGCCTTCACCGTCCTGGCAAAGGTTGGGCGCCGAAGAAGAGCTCTGTGAGAGTCAAAAGCCTGCATGTTCCAAGTGGGAGACGATTTAATTTCCCCTGCATCCTACATCACCGGATATCAAGTGTCAGCCACTGTTCCCCACTGGCACCACATCCGGCTGCAGGATTCAGAACAGTGTCGTGGAAAGAGCACTGGAATCTGGTGGGGGGACCTGGGTTCAAATCCTCTCTCACTCTTGAAACTCACAGGAAAACCTTGGGCCTTGGAGGGCAGGTGCAAGGGTCCTGCCTCTGTATCCCCCCCCCCGCCCCCGTCTGCTCCTCTGAGGGAATCTGGGGGTCTGGTCTAAGCGCTGCCCCCTTCTCCATGGCAGATGAGTGTGCCGAGCGTGCCGGCCTTCCTGGATGTCATGGGTCAGTTTGACGTGGAGTACCGGCTGTCTGTGGCCTGCCGTAACGGATGCATCTACATCCTTCGCAGGTGGGTGCTGGGACCGCTGGAGGGGCTGTGGGGAGTTGCGGGGGAGGGCACAGGCTAAGGAGAAAACCAGCAAAAGGAGCCTTGCGGTATTCAGACGGACAAGAAGGTGGTCTGAATCCTTCCTAGGATCCAAGGCTCAAGAGCTGATCTTGGGCCAGAAGGCAAGCCAGCCGGAGCTTCTGCATCGCCATTGAGCGACACAGCAGAACAACCTGTGAACACCCCACAGTTCTGGGTTCACATAGAACAACCACCCACGGCTGAAACAGCCAAGAGTTCTCAGCACACAACCCATGGGTTCTCGGGGCTGTTCGTGGCGAGCAAACCACGGTTTGTTAACGCAGCTGGGTTCACGCATCATGCCAGCCTAGCATTCAAGAGCCTGTCCCAGGGGTCGGCATTATGGAGGAACTGGGCCTCAATGTTTTTTCGGCAGTGGTGTGTCACTTCCATTGAAAACCTCTTGACGCTCACAGGGGAAAACTTATGCGTGCCCCGTATTTCTGGGCAAGGGAGAGAAGGCCCCCCACCCCGAAACTCGGGGGGCAGCTTTGTTGGAGTCGCTTCCGGTCCCGATCCATCGCCACTCCATTTCTTTCCTGTGCAGGGACTCCAAGCGGCCCAAATACTGCATCGAGCTGAGTGCGCAAGCCGTGGGTTTGGTCCGGGTCCAGAAGAACATTGTGGTGGCCTGCTCTGATGAGACCCTGCAGGGCTACACCCAGAAGGTGGCAGGGTGCAGCTGCCCCCACGGGGGGGGGGGAGGTTTAATCAAGGCGTGCAGGGCAGAGACCGAGCTGTTTGCCTCTCGGAGCTGCCAGAAGAATGCAGAGGAAGGGCTCAGCTTGGTGCTTTTCTGTAGCCTGGAATTCCAAAGTTTGCTAGAGTTCACTGAATAGGCCAAAGCGCACTGAAGAGCATCGTGGGCTCGGCGGGGGGCGGCGCCAGGGGCATGTGTGCTTTTCTGCCTGCAGGTGGCACTGTTGCCATGGCTAATTCTTCTGCAAGGGCAGCGCCTGGTTCAAACGGGGGCCTCTGATGCCAGGGGGCACCGGCCTAGCCAAGCCATCGAGCCAGAAGCGGGGCAGGGGTAGCCCGCGGCTGAGGCGTTCTTCTCGCGGCAGGGGAAGAAGCTCTGGGTGGTCCCGCTGCCTGCCGCCCCCGTCACCATGCGCCTCCTGGAGGAGAAGTTGCAGAGCTTCCAGGCCGTGCTGGTGGCCCTGGCCAACGGGGAGGTGCACATGTACCGGGACAAGAACCTTGTGAATGTCATCAAGACGCAGGTGTGTCCCACGCGAGGGGAGGGGAGGGGAGGGGCTGGGCGGTGGCGTTCCAGGGGGCCGGCTGGGAAGCCACGGAGGGCTTCGGAAGCAGAGGAACCCGCAACATGGAATGACCGCCCCATACAGACACACACATGCGAAGAGCTAGCGTGGGGCAGAGCAGGGTTGCGACATCTGCTGTGGCTGTGTGGCCATGAGGCTCCCTGGGCAGCTTAGGGTCAGTCCTCACCTCCCCTACCTCAAAGGGTTGTTGTGGGGATGAAGAGAGAGCAAGGCGTTCACGAGAGCCAGTGTGGTGTAGTGGTGAAGAGCGTGGGACTGGGACTCGGAGGATCCGGGTTCTAGTCCCCGCTCAGCCATAGAGCCAACTGGGTGGCTTTGGGCCAGGCACAGACTCTCAGCCCGGCCTGCCCCACAGGGTTGTTGTTGGTCAAGGAGAAGAATGATGTAAGCTGCGTGGAGTTCATGAGAAAAACATGGGATATAAATAATACATAATAAACAGTGTGGCAGAATGCCAGAAGGGGAAACGGGGAGCAACGCAGGAGGGGAAAGAGGATCGGGCAGCTTGTGTCGGCAGGAACAAGAAGGGGGAATATGTGTGAGGGACTCGGGTGGCTTTCAGAAGATGGAGGCGGTGCAGACGGGTGAGAATTTCACAGGACAGTCCTGAATCGGGGATGGGGAAGGTCAGTGGTCCCCTGCAAGGAGCACGTCTGTTCTCTCTCCCCCCTCCTCCCCACTTTCTCTCCTGCTTTCAGGACATCGTCACCAGCATCTGCTTTGGCCGCTACGGGCGGGAGGACAACACGCTGCTCATGACCACGAAAGGTAAAGAGGAGAAGATGTGCTTTGCTCGGCTAGATCACCTGGCCCAGTGTTAGGTTTCCTGGAAGTGGGGATATCCTGGGGTGTCCTGCCCCCAGTCACAGAGGCTTCCTGTGGGGCTAGAAACTGCAGAGCTCATGTCTGGTGGCAGGAGGCGGAAACGCCGCACATTTCAATTCGGTTCTCGGCTACTCTGTGACGAATCTCACTCGTTACGCTTGGCAATTCTGTGCTGCTTCGAACCCCTCTCCTCCTCAATTCATATTCTGAGACTGAGTCTAACTAGGAATGTTGTGTTTTCGGAGAAAATGCCCCGTCTCTGCAGCACCAAAACTACCGCAGTGTTGGTACTGGGTAGGCCTGGTCCAGGAGATCTTTCCTTAAGTGGGCGTCACCATCAGAAAGGCCGCCTTCCTTGGAATAGGCAACTTGGAGCAAGGCCGTGGATGATGGACGCAGTTTATGGGCTGGTTCCTGGCAGGAGCAGCCTTCGCCAGCCTGGTGGCCTTCAGAGGCATTTGGACCACAACGCCCAGAATTCCCAGCATGCAAGGCCATTGACTGGGCGTTGAGGAGGGCAGCCAATGCATCCTCTGTTTTTCCTTCTCCGGTTTTAAAACAAACGAGGGAGCGAGCTGCTAGTTCTCGTGGACGTTCTCTGGAAGAGAACTCCTGAGGGGTCACTTCGCGTGCAGCAAGCCGCTGGGGCAGCACTTCTGTGTCCCGTGTGACTCCCACCCTCCGTGCCCTCCTGCACCTCTCACCCTCTCCCAGGTGGAGGCCTGATCATCAAGATTCTGAAGCGCACCGCCACGTTCGACAAGGGCGACGCGGTTGTCGGCGCCCCCGTCGCCCAGAGCATCAAGCTCAACGTGCCCAAGAAAACAAAGCTGTATGTGGACCAGACGCTGCGGGAGCGGGAGAACGGAGTGGGTGAGTGACGCTGGGTGGAGTGGATCTCGTGGCCTGCCTCACCAGCCCTTTCTGAATGCTTTCCTCCGCCGTTTCACAAGGAGGAGACATTTTCGACACTTCCCAAGCAGTGGGACCTTCTGAGCCAGTGCCTGGGGGTGCTCGTGGCTTGGATAAGGACCTGCGATCCGAGCGTGGCTTAGGTTTCCTTGGCAATATTTCTGCACGACAGTCGTGTCAAGATCTATTAACACAACGGGCTTTGCTTGCTTGTTTGCTTTAAAGCTGAAGGGCTCTTCTTCTTCACCTGGTCCCCCTTTGGAGGCGCTGGGGAACTGGGGACGGCATGTGGGGCCTTGTGTACAGGGAGCTTTTGCACGGCAGGCCCTGTGAAGGATCTGCAAATACGGGGGATCGTTTGAGGCCGAGGGCAGGGAACACGCTGGATCTCTTCTCCCGCCGTGGCTTCACCTGCCTCCCTCGCTCCTTCCCAGCGATGCATCGAGTGTTTCAGACGGACCTGAACCGCATCCGGATCATGGCCGCCCGCGCCTACGTCCGTGCGCTGGAGTGCAGCATGACCCCTGTCTCGGAATCGCTGCAGGAGCCGCTCAAGATGAATGCCGTGGTGAGAGTTCGGAAAGGAACGGCGGAGAATGTGTGGAAAGCACCAGGGCGTTCGCATGCTGCCTCCCATTTTGAGAACCCGGAAGCCATGTGCATTCTCCTGCAAAGCCACTTGTCATGGAAAGCATAGCAGCATTTGGGAAAGCTGATGGTTGGGAAAAGCCCCAATGAGCAAGCAAGGTTTTAGCTTCGCTGAGCGCAAGTCCTCTTGCCCTAAACTGGAAGACTCTTCCAGGCCCTGCCCATCGAAGATGAGGAATACAAACCCATGAGACTGAATTATTGGTCATTCACTCTTCTTGGAGATTTGCCGTCCTGAGCGTGCGCAAGAGCAGGACTAGGCAGAAAGGAGCGCTCCAGATATTTTGGACTTCCACCCAGCATTCCTGGCGCTTTGCCCTGTGTGGAGGTCTAGCACAGATCCCAAATGTATTGATTTTTAATGCTTACATGCCACCGTTTTTCCTGCACGGAACCCAAGGCGGGGCGTGTGCTCCCTTTCCTCCATCTCCTTTCATCCTTAAAACAACTCTGTAAGGTGTGCTGGGGTGAGAGAGAGCCTCCCAAAGCCACTCCGTGAGCTTCCGGGCTGAACGGAGACTAAATCCTGGATCCTCAAATCCCTTCCCACAGTCTAGACCACTCCGGCCCTCCAATTGCATCCGTTTTCCAATAAGCGGTTTTGTGACCAAAGCTCTTTTCAAGGCCTCGATTGGGGCGTATTTCCACACCGTAGCCCCCCAACAGTGGGCAGACGGCTCCCCCCAGCCTTCCACGTTTTTGCTACCTCTTATTTTGTGTTTTTGACTAACTCGGAGATCCGCCACCCAGACCCCGCTGCAAAGTAACGGCTGAGGTGCGGGGACGCACCTCTCCCCTCGGCCACAGCGCGGTTCCTCGGTGGGTTGGAGGAATTTTGCAGATGCGTGTCAAAAGAGTCGGTAAGGCTGAGGCAAGGGACAGTCGGTGCGGAAGCGTTCCCTCACCTTCCCGTATCTCAGCTGCCTTTTCCACAGGTCCAGGGCATGGGACCCACCTTCAAGCTGAGCCTGCACCTCCAGAACATGTCAGATAGCCGCGCGGTTGCCAACCTTCTCGTCAGCTTCCTCTACGATGAAAAACTCTATTCCGTGGAGCGCCCGTTCTTCAAGGTAAGCCTGCCCTTCTGCAAGGCAGGAATGCTTTCTACAATAGCAAAAAAAGACTTTCCCTTACTCTATGCCATGCGTTCAAAATATTATTACTGGGACGTACCTGGGAAACATGCAAAGCATTATGTTAAAAATCACGCCTGCGGCACGAAGGCAACATCCAGGCCTTGCTCAGTCATCCTGTAATATTCCCTCCTCAGTGGCCGTCTCTGGGGTTCAGGATGAGCAGGGAGGGCAACGTCAGGGATGTACCCTGCCCCCAGACACTGCACGCTCCCAATGGGATAATGATCCCCAAATCGTGCGTGTACGTCATTTTGCAAAGAAGGCGCCTACCCCACGCGATAGAGGCTGAAACATAACGATCTCTGCCCCAGTATTCACGAAGGAGGAAACGCGATGAAACAAATCTAAGGGAACGATCCGATGCACGTTTAGACGGGGGAGGAGGGGAGGCCAAAGCTCCCAGCATGCCCCAGCCAGGAAGTTGTCGCCCCCTGAAGCAGCCTTGCAAAGCATCCAGTAATATGCCCATTTCATTTGCTAGAAGAAACGGAGTAATGTATAAGAATCCTTGCTTTGAGAACAGTATGAGGCTCTCTTGTTGTTGTTGCTTGGACTGTATGGAGGGCCTGTCTGCTGAGACATACGCGATTATCCCTTCATCGCATAACACCGTATGGTTTTGGCATGTCTGTAACCACTGCACCTCTTACAGTATCTTTGGTTATTCTCAGAGGGTTACCCCTTTGCCAGGCCAAGAAGGTTCTCCCTTCATGCAGAATCTGCCCTCTCGTTACGCCTGTGCTTTATTATTCTTTCTTTCTTTCTATCCTTTCCGTGGCCTCTTCCCTCTCCAGTGCTCCACCTGAAAGTTTTCTTTATCTTCTCCATTTCAGGCCCCCATGTTGGTCCCGGGACTGAATTACCCCCTGGTAACCTATGTAGAATGTCTCAGTGACCAAAGCATCTCCGATATTATCAAGGTTAGTCTCCCTGTGGTGTGTTTTTCTGTCCTGGGCAGGCCTTCCTGTTGATTTCCTATTTCTCTGTTGTTATGGCCTTGGAGGATATTCCAAGCAGGATATTCCTGGCTTATGTTCACCTTGATCCCTAGGCAGAAACTTGATCTGCCCCTCCACATCTCCAAGATGTTTATAGGGCTGGCATCCTTTCCTTAAACCACCTACTCCAAATCATCTGCCTTGTTGCTTGATTTTGTCTGCCTGGTTGTGCAAAGCTCTTTCTATAGAGGCTTGTCTGGTGCTTGGGCATCTTTTTGGTGCCAGGCGAAAACCCTTTTTTAAAATTTCCCCAAGCTTTTCAGCCATCCCATTAAAGAATTTGCGTTTGCACTTTTATAGATGCGTCACGGCAGCTTTTTATCCTGCTGTTCTGACTTTTGCTGATGGTGTTTCCAACCGAAGCTTTCCATGGGATGTTTCGCTGTGCTTCCTGGTTTTAAGTTTTGCTTGGGGAGGGCTTGGCTGCTGGGTGGCATAGCAAGACAACACATGACGTGTGGATGGCGTTTTTAAAGAGGGCCTCCTGTCGCCCTCCCCCCTTTGGCTGTCTGGTTTGCAGGTATTCGTGCTGCCCGAAGGAGGCGCAGAGCCACTGCTGACGGCTCACATCAATATGCCCGTCAGCGAAGGCCTGGCAGCTGTGTGAAGCCAACAGAAGCTCCTCTCTGAGCTGGCCACCTTGGCCGGCAAATCACCAGGATGCTCAAAGAGGAGTCCCGGCCCAGGACAAACACTGCTCGCTCTGACGGCGGCAAGGACGGTCCCTGCGTCCGGAAGCGGTCCCTAGCGTAGCCGCCGCTTGCCTTTGCAGCTGCAGATGGAAGACCTGGACGAGCAAAGTCAGCCCAGTAGTCCAAGTAGCCCAATAAATTTTGTTTCCTCGTCTGTGGAGCTGGACTGCGGAGGTGCGTGGGCCTGCTCTTGGGGCAGCGAGGAAAGGCCGGGTAGAAGGGGTTGACCCAAATGCACAGCGAGGTGGGGGCCCCGCTGCGGCAGCCTTAACCAGCTGGAGATCTTGAACTGCAGCTCCGGGTGTTTCTGAGCATGGGCCGTGCTAGCGGGGAAGTCCAAAACATCTGCAGAGCACAACTCGGCCCTTCCCTGCGCCCCATAAGGTCCCCGGGAGGATCGCCTCCTCCCGTTCTCGCCCGCACAAGCGTTTTGCGTGGCTTCCGGAGCTGCCCTGTTTCTCCTTCCCATTTAGCTGGAGAGGCAGCGGGGAGAGAGAGGAGTCAGTCGGTTGCTGTAACTCACAGGACCGCTGGCATCTGCCGCTTGACTCTTCCCCCATGTGTGATTTTCTTGTTTGCACCTCTAGAGCACAGATGTGTGATTAAGCCGGTTCCGTCTCCAACCACAGTCTCCCCCGACCTCCCTGTTACCGAAAAGGTGTGAAGTTTCCCCCTCGAGCGGCCACTCTTTCTGTCGCCCTCCCTGGCTCATTCACTCCCCCCCCCAACGCACGCACACACACACACAGCTTTCGGGAAAGTCTCAGGCCACATGCGAGAAAGTGGGGCATTTGGCAGGGCCAGGACCTGCAAGGGGCCCAGCCTTAACCACACTGTCATTTCCGCGTTTGTGAAGACCACATGCCCCCTCCGCGGTCTCAGTTTGTATATCACACTTTCCTCAGATTAACGGAAGGAGGGTAACGGCAACTGTGCTCCAGGGGCCTGGACATCGGCTGCCCCCGTCCCACGCTGCTCTCCTCTGGGCTTTGCAGTGGCTGGCTGAGGGCTGATCTGGCAGACTCCCTCAGAGTGGTGTTTTGCCAGGGACTTGTCTGTAGTGCTTTATGGTGTTATTACAAGTGTGTCTTTGCTGAGGCTGCTTCATCAGGCCTGCAGCGGTGTCAGACTAGCTGTGGCCTGTGAGAGTGCCCTAGTTTTATCCAGAACTCAAGGCCAGTTTCTCAGGGGTTGCCAGCATCCCCACTGGCCGCTGCTCCGGCGCCTCTCGCACCACTTTATCTGCAGGTGTTACATGTGATGACATTAATCTCCACGCCAGAGAAAAAACTTCCGTTTCTGATGCCTGTCATATGGGCAAAGTAGGCAGCGGGAGTGTGTGTGTGTGTGTACTGGTCTGTGTGTGTGTGTGTGTGTACTGGTCTGTGTGTGTGTGTGTACATATCCGTCTGACCCAGGCTAGTTGGCAGTTGAAAGCATATACTAAATGCCAGCAGCAGTGGAATCCTGGAGATGTATTTTTGATTGTTCGCTTGCTAAGAAATTTTTGTTAGAGGTTCTTGGCCTTATTAATTGCTAGGCTCTAGGGTGCAATTTGGGGGAAGACGCAACCGCCGGACTAACTTTGTTTCTGCTACCGAAGCCAGCCCTGCCTCGGTCTCCCATGAAGGAGAGTCCAGCGAAGAAGGCAGTGCCAGAGGAGCTCTCGTGCGCTTTAAGTCTGTAGCCAAAACAAAGCAACCAGCCCAAACGGTGCGGCTTGATTGTCTCGCAATTCCTTGAGGCAGCTTGCTAGGTCAGATATGCTAAGGGCGTACAGGAGGCGTGTGAATACAGGCTTCCCCCTGCGGCAAGGACAAGCTGGGAACACACCGGCCACGTTTGCACGGAATGCTGAAGCAGGATCCTGCCCAAGCCGGGGTTGCCACGGACCGGGTGGCCACAGGCAGCCCGTTCTCTCCCAGCAGCACCAGCAGCTGGGCTACTGAGACGGTGGCTTGGGTTGCGGCGTATGCAGCTGTCCATTTTGAACATGAAATCCCCAAACCCGGGTGGTGTTGGTTATTTGAGACGGTTCAGTCCTCAAACCAACCTATGGCAAACCCTGGTTTGTCCTCATCTCCCTCTGGCAGGATCGAATTTTCTAGATGGACGCCTGCAAGTCCCGCATGGCTCCAGGAAGCACAGTGGGCTGCACTGATCACACAAACCAGGTCGTGGAAATCCCAACATGGCATCCGATCCCAAAATCCTGCTTCCCAAGCAAAGATCATAAAACAGGATTGGGCCAGGATCATAAACCAAGTTTGTTATCGGCTTACAAAGAAGCTTGGCTGGTTTTGAGCACAAGTCAAGCTTCTCGGGTTCCAGTGTTGCCCTCAGTTTTCTGTTTCTGCCACTCATGCTGCTGAGAGGAGGCAGGTGAGCACAGACATGGTTATCCATCAAAGTCCTGGCTGACGGATCTGTCCAAATGCAGCCATTGTTGGTCAAGGGGCCATAATTCACCATGCCGTGCAACTGCTAAAGGCGCAGAGCGGGGGGAGAGGACCTCGCAGTGGGTGCGAGGATCAGTAGAAAAGAACGTACATGGGGTCATATGGAAGCCAAAAGTGACACCTCACAGAGGCAATACAGGAAGATCGCACCTCATGACATGTCGGGTGTGAAACGGCGTCCGTGACAAGGCATAAGCGAAACAGAAACTACAGTTGCTGGAATATGAAACCGTGAACGCCAAACACTTTCTGCAGCACCCCAAAAGTGGACGGGGGGATAGAAAAGGGTACTCTTCTCGTCCGTGAGCCTCTCAACACGCTGAGCCCATCCCCAAAAGACGCACAGGCCAGTCTCAATGTTTTAATCAAATTTATATCAAGCTTCACGCTATACAGAAGATTCGGCATTGTGTGCATGCGCATAAGCCAATATATCCTCCTGCCAGAAACTCAGCCTTGGGAAAGGCATTTTGACTTTTTAGAATGGGAGAGCGGGGGTCGCTAGGGAAGCTGTGGAGCCGGATTTGACCCCTGGGTGGGCGGATTCTAGTTTTGGACTCTAGGCTGGCTGGATTTGGCCTCTGGAGCAGAGACTCTGCTCCTCTGCATTAGAAGAAACGTAGAAAAGCCCGCATTAACAAGCCTAATGAGGTGCGTTGGCTGTCCATTCCGTTGCTCTTTCTCATGTGTCTGTCTGTCTGTCTCTCTCACACCCCCCCCCGCGCCACTTAAGGAGGGCAGCGAACGGGCTTCTTTCCCCCCGAATTCCTGACGGTCGCCGTTGCTGTGTACATGGCAATGCAGCCGGTGTTGGTTCCACGGTCCACATGGAAATACCCCTGGGAGACAAGAAAGCGTTTTTTAGTTTTGTTTAGGGCTGGTTTTCCCCTTTCTTTAGGCCATGCCTCGAAGAACACTCTTCATTCCGTCCTTGTTCGGGGAACAAAAACCAGATAAATTGCATTGGACGATACGCCAGAGTGTTATTACCAAAAGCGGGGGGGATGTAAAGAGGCTGCTGTGGGGGTCTTCTCTCAGCCAGCTCTTTCAAGCCAGTCGCACTGAGCCTCAGACTCACAACGGGTCGTCGCAGTCCTGTAGCTGAGCCTGGTGCTTCGGGCTGCATTTTCTGCAGCCTCGGACTCCGAGCTTGCTCTTTGTCTGTGGGGCAGCCCCTCCTACGAGCAGGTTCTCACATCTCCCACCGCCTTTCTGGATGCAGCTGCTTTCCTCGCCCTGACCCCCCGACAATCAAAGCAACTGGAACGCCACCGACCTTTTCGCCCCAGCCAGTTCCCCAGGAGTTCTGGATGATCCACCGCCGTTTGCTCCGCTTTGCACGCTGGGATTTGGCTGTATGGGGTGGCAAGCAAGAGGCATGGATGAGCTGGATCAGGCCGAGGCAGCAGTGGGGCTCCCCCGTCGCTTGCCGTCACCCTCTGCACTTCAAGTCTCGGTTCGGCCACCCAGATACCCTGTGTGCTGCAAATCCGTCAGACCGATTTGCAAAAGCTTTCCTGTGGCAGTGAATTCCACAGGTCCACGGTCAAAGGGCCAGACGCGTTTCAGAGTAAAGGCACATGACATGCAGCCCTCCCCCATCTGCTGTCCTCCAGGTATTTTGGTCCCAACTTTCATCATTCTCGGCCAGCGTGGCTAAACAAAGATGGACTTAGGGACACGCTCTGCTGGCCACAGGGCTTGCCCCCTCCCTGGGCAAAAGGGGCCCAAACCACCTTGAGTTGCTGCTTTTCTACGTGGAGGGATCTCTCTCCCATATGGAGAAGCACTCTGTCAAGAGAGCGTCTGTCTACCGCCTGAACCGGTCCAACTGGGACATGGGCCCATCGAACGACTGCGAAGTCAGAGGGGGATTTCCCCCCTCCCCCGGTCTTGCCCCTTGCTGCCCCTTAAAACCCACGGCCATGCACTTGGGGCCCAGTCGTCTCGGGCAGACGAAGCAGCTCGCCCTGAAATGAGCCGCTTCCCTTGGAAAATGGGCACTCGCCTTCATCGAAGCCCACAATGAGCACAACATGATCCAGGAGCCGCTCGCAGTTCAGAGGAGGTCTCCGGATAGTGCCGCTTTGGTAGTCCTGCCACACACAGAGAAGCAGAGCAGGTAACTGTCAGCAAAGATGGGGAGAATTCTGGGGAAACGCAGGTCTTTTTCCAGAGGGCTGAATTGTCCCCAGCCCTTTCCTCCAACCACGGATTATGAGATTCGTTCCGGCTTTTGCCCAGTTCCACCCTCCTAAGGCTTAGTTACTGGGAGGATGAGCTTGAAGCGATGCTGTTACTTCCTGTATTTTTAATCCTCACCCCTTTTATCTCTCCCTGTCCACACACACACACCATTTCTCCACAAGTGAATTCAGTCCTTGGGCTGAAAGTTCTCCAGGCTGCCTTCTAGAAAAAAGTAAACTTCCCAAGAAAGATGAGTTGGAAAGTTCAGCAAGATTTCTTGACTTACTCACCCTAAGGACTCTGGAATCAATGAGAGCAGTTACGGGACCTTTTGAAGCCACGATTCCAGCTATATCTGGATAAAGGTGGGAAGAACTGTAGGGTTAGGCCGAAGAGGGCAGCAAACAAGCTTTAAATCCAGCCATGTTTTGCCCCAACATTTCTCTCCTTCCCAACACATACACAACACACACAATACAGAGTTTGATCTCACAAGTGCCTCTGAGAAGCTGCAAAACATCTCCAGCTAGGTTCCATGTGGTCTAGGAACTTGATTAGATTAGAGGAATTGGTGTGTGGGCTAGTTACACAGAGTTCATCGAGTGCACACACCAAGAGCAAAACGAAGACCCCCAGGGAGAGACTGACAATGTCAGACTGATACTACACCCACAAAACTTTCCTCTCTGATTGTTTTAAGAAGCAACGGTTCGGTTCGACATTGACAAAACCTGCCTCTTCCTATCCTGGATTGACAGCAATTTTGGATAACAGCCCAACAAAAAATCTAGCACTGTTTTGATGCCTCGTCCTGGAGTTCTGAACATTATTTGGCAGAACAGAGATGATTTCAAGTCAAAGAGAGAAAAGAAGAGAGAATCCAGCTCCCGGGGAGTTTTGCGCGCACCTGATGGCCGTCCCGTCACCTTGACTCAGCTGATGGCTCATCTTTGTCCTAGCACCACCCCTTCACAGTGTACTTTCCACTATAGTCTCGCCCTTTTCACTGTACTTGCAGTGAGGAAATAACCCAAACCAAGGCCCTAGAAGTCTGGGTTCATTTCCCATCTCAGTGATGCATGTGACCGTGAAGAGCGCCTCTAAACATGTGCAGAGTACACGCTTTCTCCCTCACTGCTTGGTTGCCCCAGTCAAATTGCCCCGCCCCCGAAATTAGGAGGTGTCTGTGCTAAGGAAACGTGGGTGCCCCAGATGACTTTTCCTTTTGCAAATAACGTCTTGCGCCACCAAATCCTTACATTCCTCATCCCGGGGCAGTACTTCATAGCCATCGATCTGGGTGAGCTTTCGTCCCCGGTGTTTCCGGCACCTATGAACTTTGCCCTCGTAAGGGTACATAACACTGTTTACCAGTCCATCTGGGAAGGAAGGCAGAGTGGTTAGATATGTGTGCTTGGAGACAGAGAGAAGAAGGGCGTGTGTATGGCTTGTCATCGGTACGTTGACCAAACCCACCTGCGTTCCCAAACCATAGTTTGTTAACCACTCGAAGCTTTCCTAACAAACCATGGTTGGTTCTTCATTAACAACCCCTGGATAGAACTCATGGCTTGTTCCTAAGGTGTGAACTGTGGATTGTTCGTGGTTAACAAGTCATGGCTTGTTAGCATCGCAAACTACACGATCACCCACAGTCCAACAACAACCCATGGCCAAACGACACCTTGATTGTGAGTGTCTATGTTGTCTCAACCCGGTGACAACCACAGACAGGTCCGTTCCGCTACAGGTCTTCTGCCAGGGCACTTGCCAGCCCCAGAGAAAACCCACAACCAATGTGGGAAACAACGGGTGGCCTTCTGCTTGGCTAACAGTAGCCAAGTCCTGTTCTTTGCCCTATCTGTGGGGCTGAACCTGGGAAAAAACCCAAGTTCAAATCCCCCACTCAGCCATGAGTGGATCAGTGACTCCCCACCAGCAGCATCCTACCTTGCAGGGTTGGTGGGAGGATAACATGGGAGCGGGGCGTAGGAAGCCTTTGGAGGAAAGGCAGGATCTGAGCGTAAGCCGCACTCTTTCATCCTAAATAAAACGAGCCTGGTCTGAAGGGGTTTTTACGTACTCTGGTTGAAAACCAACTGGAAACCTTCCCACGGATAGCCTCCCTTGCAGCCTCCCATGTCGTTCGTACAATCGACCATCTCTGAAAGAAAAAGAAAACATCGCCTGGTAATAAGCGAATTGGCAGGCATCAGGCTCATCATGCAGAGTCGGACTCTGTGTCCGTCTAGCCCAGAACCGCTGGCACTGACTGGCAGGAGCAATTCTCCAGGTCTGCAAACCGGAACACTTCTAGCCGTACCCGAAAAGCTTGCCGTGGACTGAACCTAGAACGGCCTGAGTGCAAGAATACCTGGTATCCCTCTGACCTTCCATTTATGGTTTGACTGGCATATCCTTAATTTAAAAAACAAGAACCTTCTTGGCTTTCAGGGAGTGATTTGGGACAGGCTGTTGCAGAGTAAAAGCAGAGGGAAACGGCCGCTTTCTGCCTCGCAAGGAAAGGGGTTTCAGAAATCCTCGGTAGGAGAGGGGCATTCAGCGCATGGCCTTCTTGGGTCTGTCCGATTCAAGGAGAAGCCCCAGCCTCCGAAAGCAAACCCAACTGAATTATTTTCATCATCTCTTACAACAGCAAGCATAAAGCCCAACTGAAGCAATCATGCTTTAAAAAGCACACAATTGAATGTGCTACAAGAAAAGAATATTCAGTCCAGCAGTGCCAAATTAGGTGTCGAGGGACAGCAGAGAGGGAGCCAAGCTAGCCGCAGCTGGCAGGGAACTTCACAGCCCGGGGGCCACCTCTGAGAGCCCATCTCTTGCCTCCTTACCAAACATACCTCTGAGAAGGGCGTTCACAAAAGAGCTTAAAACACGGGCCGACTCGTACCATTTACAGGTCAAAACCCATGTTTGGAATGGGGCTTGCAAACCGGTGCCAAACCCGTTGTGCAACGAGGGGGTCTTGTTCTGCACGGAACCAGCGCTGGGCAAACCGGTCGCAGCGTGCGTGGGAACAGTGGGCCCAATCCATCCCCACTGCCGTCCGCCCGACGCCCGACGTACCCTGTACCGAAAGATTCCGTGGCGAGTGTCGGTGGATGTTCCACAAAGCTTCAATGTTGGACACGGCGGCAAAGGCCCAACAAGCCCTGCAGCTTTCACCCTGGGAGGGACAGAGCAGCCAGGTCTTAGGGGCCGGCTCGGGGTCCTCACCCCACAATTCCACTTCAGAAGGCCAGAATTGGCCCAGGTGCAGCCCGCCTGCCAAGGGACTCTTCCAAAATGCCCCAGAGTAATGTCACAGCAATGCTAAGTTGGGGGCATTTTAGGAAGAGTGGAAAGAACCCCCAGCCCATTCCAGTTAAAGGCTGCCTTAAGAAAGAAGATCCTTGGAGGATCTTGAAGTTGCTTCCAAAACACTCACTTCCGAATCACGAGGGGTAGTAGCTCTTCTGTACGCCTCACTCGTCAGACCTCACCTGGACTATTGTGTCCAGTTCTGGGCAGCAAGATTTGAGCAGGGTGTGGAAAAATTAGGCAGGGTCCAGGGGAGGGCAGCAAAAATGACCCAGGGTTTGGAAACTCTGCCCTGTGAGGAGAGACTGAGGGAACTGGGCATGTTCAGCCTTGAAAAGAACATGGTATCCCTCTATAAGGACCTCAAGGGCTGCCACAAAGAGGAAGGCCAAGATCTCTTCTTGCTGATGCCGCAGTGCCGGGCACGGAATAATCAGTTCAAGTTGCGACAGCCCAGATTCAGGCTGGGCATCAGGAAGAGCTTCCTCACTGTCAGAGCAATACGACAGTGGGACCAGCTGCTCGGAGAGGTGGGGGGCTCCCCCACACGGGGGACATTCAAGGTGAAACCAGGCAGCCCTCTGTGTGGAGTGGGGTGACGTGGTGTCCTGCAACAGCAGGGGGTGGACTTGATGGCCTTCATGGCCCCTTCCAACTCCACTATTCTATGTTTCTAAGTTGCAAACATCCAGAGAGCATTTTTCACTGCCGCAGTGACAGATTGTATTTCCATTTAAATCAAAGGTGTGCGGTTTGCATCTAGATATAGGTCTGGGTTCAAATCCCCACTTGGCCATGGAGCCAACTGGGTGACTTTGGGCCAGTCACTGATTCGCAGCCTCACCCACCTCACAGGGCCGTTGTGAGGATGAATTGGTGAGGAGTTGGATTGTGTAAGTGGACTTGGCTTATAAATATAGCAAAGGGGCTATAAATATAGTAAAATAAATAAAACGTCTTTCCTCTTTTTGCAGATTTTTTCCAGACTTCAGCAAAGAGAAAGATAGCACTCTTCCACTTGGCCTCTCCATCGGACAGGTGATGTCTGCCTATTTTCCACCTTTACCTGGTGTTTCACCTCTGTGACTGCCCCAGCTTTCCTCCAGTCGCAGGATTGGTTGACATTCATCCGGGGGGGCTTCTCCAACCACCCCAAGGTGGGGGGCAAGCGAGGCAAGGAGCGGGGAGCCATGCAAAACTTCTCTGCAAATTCACTTTCTGGGCAACAGGGAAAGAAAAGCAGGGGCCGCGTGTTCAGGCAGCCTCCAGCAGAAAGCAGAGCGGTGTTTGTGTGAGTGAGGCAGCTGCCTGGGTCCCGTGGAGGGTTGGGCTGCAGGGCGGCCCTCCCAACCTGGCAGCCAGCTAAGGGGCTGCTCTGCAGTGAGAAGAAGGCCTTCTGGGCACCTCCTGCATTCGCCCTGTCCTTGCAATGCCTCTGTTTTCGTGCCAAACACCAGATGCAAATTCTGGGGTTCTGGGATGCCCCCAGAAACAGAAATCAGTGGGGAAAGAGAAAATGGTTTTAAAAACCTTGAAGAAATCAGGGAAAGCTTTTCCCAACTTTCCCCCACATCCACTGCTGAATGGATTGGGCTGTTAGCCCCATCATCCTTAGACAGCACGGGTTGATGGTAGTTGTAGTGTGACAGAGATGCCAAGGCTGAGGAAGGGGATTGATTTTAGATTGTGAGGGTTTCTGAGCCAAAATGGTGGGAAATAAACCCCAGGATATGAGCATACATTCTCTCTCTCTCTCTCTCTCGTTCTCTCTCTCTCTCTCGTTCCCTCTCATATTCTCCCCCTCCCTTTGGAGTCGTAAACATTCTTTATTATTATTAATATTTTTAACAAAACTCTCTGCTGACACCAGCAGGGGAGCTGTTTCACAGCCTCCAGAGAATGGCTTTTGCTCCGCAGCTCTTTGCAGCCTGGGCGGGCAAAGACGCTGCAGTCCCTGCGCGGGGGCAGGGGGGGGGGGAGCCTTGCCTGCAAATTTCTGCAAAGCTCAGCCACCGTCTGTGGTCAGGCAGAGGAGCAGAGTGAGCGCGGTCGCTTGCAAACCCTTCTTTGGTGGGCAGGCCCAAGATCAGAGACTGCCACAGCGGTGTCTCTGGGCTTCTCTCGTTGCTCTCCAGCTCTGCCGTCCCCAGCCCTCCTAGCCGGTGGTCAGGGAGGATGGGAGCTGGAGTCCAGCCTCATCTGGGACAGTTACAGTTCCTCAACCCTGCTTGCAAATTCACTTATCGAATTCCCAGCAGTTGTGCATAAATGCACCAGTCATGATAACAGAGAAAAACGGGCGTCCCTTGTTGGTTTATTTCATGCATTACATTTTGACACTGCCCGTGCTCAGCGGTTAGCTTGTAACGATTCTTTCTGGGTAGTTTGTAAAGACTGAAACCTTCAAAATACATTATAAAAATATTTATATGCAAACATACAATAGAGAGAGAAACATAGTAAAAACAATTTTAAACCATCAACAAGACACTTTCAGTTAAAGCTTCGCTTCCGTTGCTAAATGCCTGAGATAGGACGGAGGGCTTACTCCTGTGCCGAAAACAGCCCTGCAGCAGGCAAGCTTTCTGGCGAGTTTTTTTTCCAGCAACGGGGAGGCCACCGCAAAGAAGGCCCAATGAACTTGGCACAGAAACCCACCAGAGTCAGATAGCACGTCTGTTGTCCTCTGGAAGTCAAGGCTAGTCCGAGATGACCGTGGCAAAGATCCAGGGCAGCCCCCATTTCCAAAAATTAATGCAGCAATGGATTCTTTTGCACAAGGCCCACAGGGGGACTTCCATTCCAGGTGCCGATCTTGGGTCTGTGCCATTTTGCACCTGCTGCCCTTTCCGAGTAGGGCTGCCTCCCGCGTCCAGCCTCCCCTTCCAGCCCCTTTTCACCTGTCAGGTCGCTGAAGCGCGTGACCCCGTACTGCGCTGTGCCCGTTTCCGAGGCCTGCAGCTCACGGCTCCTTTCCAAGCTCTGCACAAAGACCTTGAAGCGATAGTCCATCTCTGGGGAGAGAAAGCCAGCGAGAGAGCACTCGGGTCCCTGTAGACTGGACTGCCTGTTCCTCCCTGCCGTGGAGGGCAGGATGCATCCCAGTGGGGCAGAGCTTCCAACGGAAGAAGGCTTCAGGCTGGATGTCAGGAAGCGGAAGATGGACTGGGCTCCCAAGGGCGGTGGTGAGGCCCCATCGGGAAGGGCGTCCAAGGATAGATGGGACAACCCCATAGAAACAGAGCGAGTCAGAAGGGGCCTCCTGGGCCATCTAGTCTGACCCCCAGCTCCAGCCGGCTGCTCATGTAATTCCCAACATGCACATGGTAGGC